TCGACTATCATAATCCAACTAATACAGAAAGCCCTACTACTTACTAGCACTTGCTGCAGAAGCAATGGACTCAGCATTAATCTAAACAAAGTCGAAATACTCCCTTTCACTCGGAGAAGGAAGCTACAATTGAGAGCACCCTCCATTGAAGGCAGAACTATTAACCTCAAAAAGCAAGGAAACAAATACCTACGGGTTATTACTAGACAGTAAACTAAACTGAAACTCCCACTTAGTCAAGGTGAGGAAAAAGGCACCGCAGGCTACATGGAAAGAACTGGGGTCTTAAACCACGAAGGGCTCACTGGGCCTACGGACTCATGGTTGCCTATGCCTCACTTGTTTGGTGGCCAAAAACAAGTGAGGGAGCACAGGACAGCACAATAACAGCTGGCACAAATCCAGCAGTTACCATGGTTTAATATAACGGGTACAATAGCAAAAGAAGGCAGCGGTAAGTGCCTCATCACTGAAAACACTCAAGTTGATGCAGGGTAACCTCAGAAGACAGGTCGAAATCCTCAAGGACCCATGCCTAAACCACTTGATTAAAATTAAAACGGACCTTATACCGACAGAATATATTTTCGACCAGCCGTATAAGGTCATATTTAGAAGCAGCGATGATTGGGCGAAGGGTGAGCCTCAAGTTAAAAGAGAAGCCCTTGCCTGATACACCGATGCTTCAAAGACAGTTGGATTCGGAGTAGGTATGGGCATTAGTGGACCAAATAGCCGCATTAAATTGCTCCTCAGCTCAGACATAACCATTTTTCAAGCAGAAGTTCTTGCTATAAACTTCTGCGCCGCTTTGAACCTAGAAAAGGAACAGAAAGGTGCATCGATAAACATTTTCACGGACAGTCGGGTCGCCCTAAAGGCAATTCAGGCCTACACGTGTGACTCCGCACTGATCACAGATTGTACCAGTAACCTGAGAGAAGTCGCTATGGATAATGATGATACTCTATGGTGGGTTCCAGGTCACAAAGACATTGAGAGCAATGAAACAGCGGACAAGCTGGTCAAAGAGGTAGCGAGAACGCCCTAGATAGGACCCCAACTCGGCGGTGGACTACAAAAAAGCAGGTAATTAATAGTAGGGAGGCTTGAAAGGTAGCCTTACGTTGGAAACAACTTCCAGATCACAGACAGGCGAAGAGTATGATAACTCTGTCGCAAAACAAAACCAAAGAGATTTTATACCTCAGCAAAGGGGATCTAAGGTCGCTTTCAGATTTCCTGATACACCACCTTTTCCATATCCGACAAGCTGAAGATCAAACTTGTCGACTTTGCAACGACGAGTCAAAGACAACTAAACATATACTGTGTGAATGTGCCGCCTAAGACACAAAATTTTCGGTAAAGTTCGCCTGACACCTACCGACATAAAGGAACAAGATCTTAGGGCAATACTAAGGTTCATAAAGGACCTGCATTTGCCCTCAACTTTTGGAGGGCCTAAGTTACAATAGATCTTATACTGTCTTGTATGTCATCAACTTTCCAGTGTATCATGTGTATTTACATGCCGTCCTTTCGTATTGTATGACCGAAACAGCAGTATCACTTTGAAACCCAAGTTTCATCTCCTTCACCATTGTATCGAGTAAGAAATGTCAAAGTACTTTCAAGACGCTTCGTTTTGTGACCATTTTTGGAACCCAACGGGAACATAATTTCCGATAATTTAATCGTTTTGTGATAATCTCATACAATACAGTGAATGAAAACGGTACTTATTTTCTGGACACGCCTCGTACTATCTAAACAGTATTGGGGAAAGACTGCATTCATGCCTGATGCCTTTTCTACCAATAATTAAAAAAGAACCTGTAATTCATTTAATTCCAGCTAAATCTGTTAATTGTCTATTTTTATAATCTTGTCTATAATTTATTTTGTCTTATAATTTCCATTTTTTTGTTAGCTTGTTGCATATTTTTANAAAATCGGTGTAGATAGCGTCCACCTGGCAAGATCGGTCGAAAGCACGATGAATAAAATTGGTATAGGTTATTAAATTGGTCTCGACCGATCTACCAGGCAGAAAGCCATGCTGCTCAACGATCATGAAGGGCATCAGAATATATAATAATTTAGGGTAAATTTTTTCAAAAATTTTTGAAGTAAAGACAAACATGAAATAGGGCGATACTGGGATACGTCGCACCGGTCACCAGACTTGAATACAGGGAATACAAATGCTCTCCGCCATTCACTGGGGAATGCACCGGAGCGTAAGGACAAGGAGAATATAAGAAATAGGGGCTTTGCTAAACCGGTAGCACAGTTTTTAATAAAACAACCCGGCAGTTTATCCGGACCAGCTCCAGTCTTCGCATCTATTTCATTAAGAGCACGCAAAACATCCTCCTCACCAATCCAGGGCACAATTTTACGGCAGATTTGTAAATAATCTTTTTTACAATTACGAAACATATTAGTAACCATATTACGCGCTAACTTATACTGCTGCCAATGTAAGGATCTTCGCAAGCGTTTAAAGGTCTGAAACAATTTATCTCGGGTTCGCATGGCTACTCTAAGCTCATTGGATAACCAAGGAGCACTAGGTTTTGTAATTCTTACAGTTTTGAAAGGTTCATATAGGTCCAAAAGCGTTAATACATTTTCATTAAAAAAATGAACTTTATCATCCATGGAATGTAATTCGACTATCATAACCCAACTAGCACTTGGTGCAGAAGCAATGGACTCAGCATTAATCTAAACAAAGTCGAAATACTCCCTTTCACTCGGAGAAGGAAGCTACAATTGAGAGCACCCATCATTGAAGGCAGAACTATTAACCTCAAAAAGCGAAGACAAATACCTACGGGTTATTACTAGACAGTAAACTAAACTGGAACTCCCACTTAGTCAAGGTAAGGAAAAAGGTACCGCAGGCTACTTGGAAAGAACTGGGGTCTTAAACCACGAAGGGCTCACTGGGCCCACGTAGCAATAATCAGACCCATGGTGGCCTATGCCTCACTTGTTTGGTGGCCAAAAACAAAACACAGAACAGCACAACAACAGCTGGCACAAATCCAGCAGTTAGCATGTCTTAATATAACGGGTACAATGACATGCAAAAGAAGGCAGCGGTAAGGAAATCCTCAAGGACCCATGCCTAAACCACTTGATTGAAATAAAAACGGACCTTATACCGACAGAATATATTTTCGATCAGCCGTATAAGGTCATATTTAGAAGCAGGGATGATTGGGCGAAGGGTGAGCCTCAAGTTAAAAGAGAAGCCCTTGCCTGATACACCGATGCTTCAAAGACAGTTGGATTCGGGGTAGGTATGGGCACTAGTGGACCAAATAGCCGCATTAAATTGCTCCTCAGCTCAGACATAACCATTTTTCAAGCAGAAGTTCTTGCTATAAACTTCTGCGCCGCTTTGAACCTAGAAAATGGAAAGAAAGGTGCATCGATAAACATTTTCACGGACAGTCGAGCCGCCCTAAAGGCAATTCAGGCCTACACGTGTGACTCCGCACTGATCAGATTGTACCAGTAACCTGAGAGAACTCGCTACGGGTAATGATGATACTCTATGATGGGTTCCAGGTCACAAAGACATTGAGGGCAATGAAACGGCGGACAAGCTGATCAAAGAGGCAGCGAGAACGCCCTACATTGGACCCCAACCCGGCTTTGGACTACAAAAAAGCAGGTAATTAATAGTAGGGACGCTTGAAAGGTAGCCTTACGTTGGAAAGAACTTCCAGGTCACAGACAGGCGAAGAGTATGATAACTCCGTCGCAAAACAATACTAAAAAGATTTTATACCTCAGCAAAGGGGATCTAAGGTCGCTTTCAGATTTCCTGAGCGGCCATGCGCCACTAAAATACCACCTTTTCCGTATTGGACAAGCTGAGGATCAAACTTGTCGACTTTGCAACGACGAGTCAGAGACAACTAAACATATACTGTGTGAATGTGCCGCCTAAGACACAAAATTTTCGGTAAAGTTCGCCTGACACCTACCGACATAAAGGAACAAGACCTTAGGGCAATACTAAGGTTCATAAAGGACCTGCATTTGCCCTAAACTTTTGGAGGGCCTAAGTTACAATAGATCTTATACTGTCTTGTTTGTCGTCAACTTTCCACTGTACCATGTGTATTTACATGCCGTCCTTTCGTATTGTATGACCGAAGCAGCAGTATCACTTTGAAACCCAAGTTTCATCTCCTTCACCATTGTATCGAGTAAGAAATGTCAAAGTACTTTCAAGACGCTTCGTTTTGTGACCATTTTTGGAACCCAACGGGAACATAATTTCCGATAATTTAATCGTTTTGTGATAATCTCATACAATACAGTGAATGAAAACGGTACTTATTTTCTGGACACGCCTCGTACTATCTAAACAGTATTGGGGAAAGACTGCATTCATGCCTGATGCCTTTTCTACCAATAATTAAAAAAGAACCTGTAATTCATTTAATTCCAGCTAAATCTGTTAATTGTCTATTTTTATAATCTTGTCTATAATTTATTTTGTCTTATAATTTCCATTTTTTTGTTAGCTTGTTGCATATTTTTAATAATTTCTTTTATCCTATATTTTTTTTCTTTTCTGTAGATTTACCAAAGATAAGGGCAACTGGTGCATAGTGCACTCATTTTGCTTGAATGTTTTGTAAGTTATGTTGTGTTATTTTATTTAATTGGTTTTGATCCCTTCTGGTATGGGTTGGATTGTAATGGTTTTATTTTATAGAATTATTTTTCATTATTTTGTTCCTCTCAAAAGTAGTTAATTGAGTGCTTCAGTATCGTGGTGAATTTTTAAAACCTAATCTCCATGAAAGATGAGACTTGAATTAACCACTAAGACTAGTTTTTAAGAGAGAATTGAAAACATGTGTACACTAACTCATCTTCAACCAAACTCTTATTCATTTCGTATTTATAGTAATAACATTTATTAAAATTTATTACAATATTATAGCAAACATTATTATTTATTCTAGATCTGGTCCAGTTTTTGGTGCAGGAGCAGATTTATTTATCTCAAGTAATTGTAACACAAATATTGAAAGTTACTCAAATTTACCACACACTTATGATGGGGATGCAGCTTCACCAGCAGTTTTAATGGGTGAATATCATTTTGCAGTGGCAGATTATGAAGTGTTTACAATTACTAGTACAACAGGAATTAAACATTTGAAAAATGAAAGATATCAATAAGATTAGGCAGGAAAACAGTTGATATATACATTTATTTTGTCTACTAAAACTAAGACCAACAAAATCTTAATCACATGACCCGTCTGACCAACCGTCCCTCCACCGTTCATTAACCTTGCTACAGTCAAATAGTGGTTTTCCTACTTTTGCATTTACTTTATTATGTAATTTACAAAGCCATTGACTCAGTGCTTCTTGTGATTCGGTTTTTGGTGGACAATCTTTTAAGCTAAAATCAATGTTTGAATAAAAATGTTATCAAAATAAATGAACTTACTCTTTTCTTAAATCTTGAGCACAATGTGTACAAGGATAAAATTTTGAAAACACTGAAAAAAAAGTACTCATATCATGCCGTTGTTCAGGAGAAGGTTTTTCAGGATAAGTCGCGGCCATTGTGTGTAACAGCCCCCAAGTTTTATTTCCCAACTCATCTTTATCTAGCGGACAATCTTCTCTTCGATGTTGTGCACCTGGAGCATCTTCTGGCATCTAAAGAGAAAAGGAGAATAAACGGAAATTAAAAATCGAAAAGTGGCAACAATATTGGGGTCGTGCAAAGAACATACACACATTTCCTCGTCATTTTCGTTTACCTCTTCGTTGATTTTCTTTCGGTTTTTCTTGATGTAATCCGAGAAACTCGTGCACTGTCTGCACTGTTCATTATCTAAGTGACTCACGCGCGGGGACATTGTACACAACACTATTCAAATGTGAACTTTTCGAAACTAATCGGTACATTTTAAACGCATTTTTATTTTGAGTGGAATTGTGAAAATTTTTCGGTTAACCTAAATTTGTCATTAATGGCGATGCCAACCTTAACCCCCACAATCTGACATTTAAACATCAAATTTTTAAAAACGTCGATTATAACAAAATATCTCGTTTCTACGTCTTTTAAACTAATTATTTTAATAATATTTAATAATCATTAAATAAATTAAAATTATTTCTTTAATTTAATATAAAATATGAAATTATTTTTAAAATTGTGCTGATACCAACCTTAAAATTTTAATTTCTTCAAACCGTCTGCAAAACTGCGTTTTTAATATCAAATTGATTTATAACACACGCCTTATTTGTTGTAAACTATAATATAAGTATGATTTAATAATGATTAATTAAATAATAATTTATTTATTGAAACTTTACTCATAACACATAACCTTAAATATGTTTTAAATGTCAAAATAACCCGCTAAATGAAACATTATCGAGAGAAAAAATGGTTTTCGTTATAAAAATGTAAGTTCATTTTCAATTTATTTATTTAAAAAGTAATTTTGATTCATATTTTTTATAAAATATTCGAAAAAATATAGTCGGTTTTTTTCCAAATCATAACCTCAAAATTAAACGTCAAATTGCTCACCTCTTTATCAATGTGGTTATAAACTTTTCGTGTTCTACTTTGCAATTAACTATAAGCATAGCAAAACTGGTGTTTACAATTCGTAGTGAGTGATTAGTGTTGAAATGGGACCTCCGAAACGTTATAACTCTGGCAAATCTGAAGGTAAGTCGAAAAAACGTAAAAAGGAAGAGGATGAAGTTTGGACGTATGAAGAAGATGATATAAATGAATCTGAAGGGGCTGATGTACCCGGGGCAGCGGAGAGAAATGCGGAAAATAACGATCAATCCGCGCTTGAGGATGAATTTGGGGCGAAAGATTATCGTTCACAAATGACTTTGAAACCGGATAACGCCTCTCGGCCTCTTTGGGTCGCCCCAAATGGGCATATATTTTTGGAGTCTTTTTCCCCAGTTTATAAACATGCGCACGATTTTTTAATTGCAATAGCTGAACCAGTTTGTCGCCCAGAATTTATTCATGAGTATAAACTAACAGCCTATTCTTTGTATGCTGCTGTAAGTGTGGGGTTGCAAACACATGATATCATTGAATACTTAAAAAGATTAAGCAAAACAACCGTTCCTGACGGGATTGTCGAGTTCATTAAACTATGTACATTATCATATGGAAAGATTAAGTTAGTTTTGAAGCATAATAGATACTTTGTTGAGAGCCCTTTTCCAGAAGTGTTACAAAAACTGCTTAAAGATCCAGTTATTCAAGAATGCAGGAAGAAACGAGATGTTGAGCTTGAAGGAGATGAAGAGTTTATCACCCAAGTTCAAGATAAAAAGAATGTTCCTAATTTTGGAAAACCTGGGACATCATCAACTGAAACAGGAGAAGGTGGAACTGTTGTTCCTGATGATATAACAAATTTTTATGATAAAATGGATAATGAAGAAGATGAAGATGAATCTGCTTTAAAAACAGTTTCTTTTGAAGTTAACCAAGAAAAAATTGAGGTTATCCAAAAAAGATGCATTGAATTAGAATACCCATTATTAGCGGAATACGATTTTCGAAACGACACAAACAACCCTGACATTAACATCGATTTAAAACCATCAGCTGTGTTGAGACCTTACCAAGAAAAAAGTTTACGAAAAATGTTTGGCAATGGAAGAGCAAGATCAGGAGTTATTGTACTTCCGTGCGGCGCGGGAAAATCATTAGTTGGAGTCACAGCTTGTTGTACAGTAAGAAAAAGGGCCTTAGTCTTATGCAACTCTGGAGTTTCTGTTGAGCAATGGAAACAACAATTTAAAATGTGGTCAACAGCTGATGACTCCATGATATGCAGATTTACATCAGAAGCAAAAGATAAACCAATGGGATGTGGAATTTTAGTCACAACCTATTCAATGATAACACATACCCAAAAAAGATCATGGGAAGCCGAACAAACCATGAAATGGTTACAAGATCAAGAATGGGGAATCATGGTTTTAGATGAAGTCCACACAATTCCAGCAAAAATGTTTCGAAGAGTTTTAACAATTGTACAATCTCATTGTAAATTAGGATTAACAGCTACATTATTGCGTGAAGATGACAAAATCGCAGATTTAAATTTTTTAATTGGCCCAAAACTCTATGAAGCCAACTGGTTGGAACTACAAAAAAGAGGTTTTATTGCCCGAGTACAATGCGCGGAAGTTTGGTGTCCAATGACACCAGAATTTTACAGAGAGTATTTAACTTGTAAATCAAGTAAACGCCTCTTATTATTCGTAATGAATCCAAATAAATTTCGAGCGACTCAATATTTAATAAGATACCACGAAAGAAGAGGTGATAAAACTATCGTTTTCTCCGATAATGTTTTCGCTTTAAAACATTACGCAATTAAAATGAATAAACCGTATATTTACGGGCCGACATCTCAAGGAGAGCGAATTCAAATCTTACAAAACTTTAAATTCAATCCGAAAGTTAACACAATTTTTGTAAGTAAAGTCGCGGATACATCTTTTGATTTGCCTGAAGCTAACGTTCTCATTCAAATCTCTTCTCATGGTGGTTCAAGAAGACAAGAAGCTCAAAGATTAGGTCGTATTTTAAGAGCTAAAAAAGGTGCCATAGCCGAAGAATACAATGCGTTCTTTTACACATTAGTTTCTCAAGATACTATGGAAATGAATTATTCAAAAAGAAGACAAAGATTTTTGGTTAATCAAGGTTATAGTTATAAAGTTATTACCAAATTAGCTGGAATGAATGAAGAACCAGATTTAATGTACAAAACTCGAGATGAACAAGGCCAGTTGCTACAACAAGTAATAATAATTTTTTTGATATTATTTTTTTTGGAGTAAACGTTTCCTTTAGGTTTTAGCTGCTAGTGATATTGATTGTGAAGATGAACGTATTCCTGGTGAAGGCGTTTCTAGAAGTGGAGCAGGCGGAAATCGTCGTATTGGACACATGGGGTCGATGTCTGGAGCCGATGACGCCGTTTATTATGAGTATAAGAAAAGCGCTGCTTCTTCAACAGCTAATAAACATCCGTTATTTAAGAAATTCAGATATACTTAGTTATAAGATTTTTTTGTTCAGTAATATTATTATTTTGTATTAAGTTTCAGTAATAAATTTTCTTAAAAATACTTTTAAATATTTAGATTATTTAGTTTTCATAATATAATTAAGAAAATCCTTTTCTTCTGTATTTGTTACTCCTAGCCCTATTTATCCTACTCTTGCTGGCGATTGTAATGATTTGTGCTTTTTGTGTCTATAGTATTTGGAATGATCAAGGTGGAATAGGCCCCAAAAACCTATTAAGCTTAAAAAACCGTAGGAGATGATGGTATCCCTTCGATTCTAGGTAAAAAAAAGTCTTGCGTTGCCACTCACTATTGAGTATGAGAAGTTAGACCCCAATTTTTTGATTTTTAAATTTTTTATTATTGTTCTAGATTGTTCTAGAGTTGTTCTACATTGTTATAAAGCGGCAAATAGAAAAAATAAAAACTCGGCGAGAAAAACCGAAAAAACGGTTTTTTTTGACTAGCCCCCCATTTTTGGAAAAATCAGGTTTTCTTTGTTGTTTTGGGTTGTTCTAGAAAATCAAAATTATGGGATACATCATTACGAAGTTATAACTAAAAATAGGTTGGCTGCCAAAAAATCTAAGTTGATTGCCGTGACCATAGTTTTTCTATTTTCAATTCCATATTACAAATATATACTTATTATACCTAAAGCAATCTGGAACATCTGTTATTTTCACTACAACAATTCTATAAAGGACACTTTACTCTTTAAAAATTAAAGTTTTTGGAAGTTTCAGTCAGTAATACTTGCGTCAGTTTTTTTAAATTACCCAATAAGAATTAAAATATGTACATAGAACGATCTAAAATAACTCAAACTTTGCTGATTCATATTGTTCTAGATGTGTTTCGCGTTTAAACTAGAGAAAAAAGGTTTTTCTGGTTACACGGACATTAATTTTGCAAAATCATATCATCTTAAAAATACAGCAAAATGCAGAACTAACAAGAAAAATAATAAATCAACAAATGAATAATCATCCTACTATTCGATCAGCAAACAAAAATACAATATTTGTATTATACATTATGTATTAAAAACTAATATCTGTGTCCCACCCACACAGAGATATATTTATACAGGTGGTCCATTTAACGTGAGACAAACGATTATCTCGAAAACGGTTCATTTTTATGTAAAATGAACCGTTTTCGAGATTGAATACAAGTTGTTCTGTGCGCAGGGGGAAACCATATGACGATAACATTTTTGACCTTGACTTTATTTAGGTTAGACAAGGTTATATGAAGGTCACGACCAATTTTTTAAATCGCAGCCTATATATTTGATTGTAAAATCTGAATCTGTGGATAAAAGTAAAGTAATTAAAAAAAAATTTACTATGGTTTTGCCATTACAACGGCAAAACATCTTTTGAAAAAAATTGAAACTTCTTCAGAAACAATAAAATTACTAACGTTTATAATCAAGAAAGAACAAATAAGATTTATAAATTTTTAAACATTTTCCTACCCGCTTCGATACATTGTCTTTAGTTCTTAATTCTTAGAATACTATTTAAGAATGCTCAACAAAAAAATCCAGAAGAGGTACAACGGGTGACCTGGCTCTTTGGAAATACCTTTGGAAAGAGCTCTAAAAGAAGACAAAGAAAAAAAGAAATCGAGAAAGAAAATCGCTTTTAGAAACTTAATTGGTTGAATTGTTTTCAAATATAACAGGTAAAACTTAAATTTGCATAAAAAATGCTTGGCAACAAATTCTGAATTCATTCCATCGTTTTACATTAAGGCAAAGTGTTATAAATAACTTATACTCTAAGTGTGGCAGAAAAAGTCGAAATGATTTTTATTTATGGAGAAAGTGGCAGAAAAGTTGCTGATAGTATAGCTTTGTATCGAGAACGTTTTCCTGATCTAAATACACCTTCGAGAAGTGCAACAAGTATCACCCATACCACATTTCATTGCATCAACTGCTTTATGGAGGTGATATTGAAAACCGATTAATATTTTGTCAATGGGCACAAGAACGAATGCGGTTGGACGTCAATTTCTTTGGTAACGTACTATTCTCGGATGAGTCTACGTTTACAAACAAAGGACAAGTCAATAGACATAACATGTACTATTGGAGCGTTGAAAATTCGAGATGGTTGCGTGAAGTAAAACATCAGCGACCTTGGTGGATTAATGTTTGGTGTGGCATAATTGCTGATAAATTGATCGGTTCATACTTTATTGATGGTATGCTGAATGGGGAGAAGTACCGAAATTTTTTAGATGACGTCTTACCAACGTTACTTGAAGATTTGAGCAGGGAAGAAAGACAAAATATGTGGCTGTAAAATGGTGGGTGTCCAGCACATTTTTCATATTGCACGTGAAGCTTTTGATCGGGATTATGCTGGGCGATGGATTGGAAGGGGAGGTCCAATTTCCTGGCCTGCCAGATCACCTGACTTAACACCTCTTGATTTTTTTTGTGGGGCGTCGTTAAGGATAATGTTTATCGCGAAGTATCGACTACGCTAGAAAACATGAAAGAGCGGATAAGAAATGCATGCAGAAATAGTAGCCAAGAAAACATTTTAATATGTAAAGAACGTTTTAGTAGAAGGGTTAATAAATGTATTGAAGTGGGTGGGGAAATATTAGAACATTTATTATAAAGTTTATACTTGTTGTTGATTAATAGTATAGTTTAATCATTTTTTATAAGTAAACAACCGGTCGAGGACGTGTATATAGACGTCCTGGTGAACGCTACGCAGCCGCTACTACACAGGAAGTGAATAGATTTGGTCGGGAATCTGTTATGGTTTGGGCTGGAATCAGTATAGACAACAGAACTGATCTGGTAGACTAAATGCCATGAATTACATCGAAAACATCTTGGAGGACCATGTGGTGCCTGCTTCATATGGGGTCGGTCAAGATTTCATCCTAATGCAGGACAATGCAAAGTCACATACCGGTGGGATCACCAGAAATTTTTTGCAAGAACGTGGAATTCAGGTCATGGAATGGCCGGCGTTAAGTCCAGACCAGAATCCTATTGAACACATTTGGGATCAGCTTGACCGACACGTTCGCAAGCGCCCTAATCCACCACTAACCATACAGGAACTGACACAAGCCCTGAGGAATGGGAAAGCATACCCCAAGAATTTCTTCGCAGACTAGTGCAAAGCATGCCACGCAGGTGTGAGGAAGTGATTCGTGCTGGTGGAGGGCATACACGGTATTAAACCTCATCAATCCACAGAAAACCCGACTCTCATCGATACTATGAGAGTCGTTTCCACTTTGTTTTGCGTTATTAATTTACATTAAGTGTTAAAGTGTTAAGTTATTAATTTAAGTGTAACTTAGAAGTAACTAAGAGTTGTAACATTGTTTTTGTAATTTTCTTTAGTTAAATATATGCCGTTGAAGTAAACCAAATTTGATTTTCTTAGAATTATTATGTAAAAAGTTACAGATTTCGAAAAAAGTGTTCCCCTAATTTTTTTGAGCAGTGTATTTATACCGGGTGTATATGAATGACTGCAACAAACTTCAAGGGGAGATTCTTTAGTTAATTTTAAGGATGCTACACCCCTCCAAAAATAGCGGAAAATTTTGGTTTAATTTCTTTTTCTCAAAAACCATAAATGCTAGGAAAATGAAATTTGGGGAATATGTTTAACTCATAATCATAATAGAGCACGTATTGACCATATTTGTACTTTCAACCTACCCTTCTAAACTACTAAACATAACCAGCCCCTTTACATTTTTGCTAAAATTTTTTTTATGCAGATGATAAATACATTAGAAAAATGTTACATAGGTAGATGAAAGTATCCTAAAACTTTTTTCTTTCCAATTTTTCCAAAAACCACTAATTTTTGAGGAAAAAAATAATAAAGCAAACACTGCCCGTTAAACAACTGGGTTGTCGATCTGTATATACTGTATTTGTTTCCATATGTTAATAAAATAAAATATTAAAATTCGAATGAAGAATTATACAGGGTTTTCCAAAAGTAACGGATAAATTCGCTAAAACAACTAATAACAGTTTATAGAAAAATTGCTGAGATGGGTCTAAGGATTTAAATTTCTTCCCATTGGTCTTTTGAAGGCGTTGGAAGAGTTTTAGCTTGCAGTCGGTTTGCATACTTTTTTTACTATTAAGCTACCTGTGGAAAATCCAATTCTGAAGGTGTAATGAATATCAGTGAAGGTGCACCCACTGCCAAGATACCTGAATAAGAAACAAAACCGTTACAATGTTTTTATTTTGTTATTTCTTATAAAAAAATCATATTTTGTTTCGGCTAAGAGTTAAGATTGGTAAAAACGAATAAGTATCATTGTTAGTGTAAAGAGTTGCAAAAAAGAAAAAGCAAATAAGAAAAGTGGCACAGGAACATCAAAAAGCAAACAATTGGAGTTTTTAAAAAAATTTTATGTAGTAGAGAAGTTGATGATAATTTGGAACCAACAAAGGACGAAGATGGTGCAATTATTCATTTTGATGTTGAAACATCTATTGCAACGATTCCATCAAGCTCATCTACGCGGCATAGTAAACGGCGTAAGATGGTTGAATTTGATGAAAGAATTTTGAAAGCCATAGAAGCTGAAAGCCCAAATCGCCATATCTTTTTCTTTAACGGTATTGTCCTGCATTAGAAGAATTTAATTAGGGTGAAATTTTACAATTTCAAATGGGAGTGTTGCAACTGATTGCAAATATCAATCAGCAGCAGCGACAAACCACACTCAGGTTTCTGCTCAATATTCACCGCAACAGAACAATCAATATTCTGCAACTACTGAGACTCCTCCAGCCCACCAATCAAAATTTCTTCAAATTATAAATTACTTAGTTACCCATAGTATTTTGTTTTGTTATTTTTATTTTTTGTTTGTTTGTTTACAAAAGGATTTTGTTTTTGTTGTTTATATTGAAATATATTTATCTTAAAATCTTGATCGTTGTTTTTATTGGGTTGGGACCTTGAGTTCTTCTTTTAAACTGTATAGTGTATTTTGACAAAAAAATAAGTTTGACTTACCTTAAAGCCACAGCTATTTAGTATTTCTATTAGCTGGATACAGTTCCTCATCATATTTTGCCGCTGAAGAGTGTCTTTAAGTCGGTTGTGAAAATCATCAAATGAGGCCACTGACATTCTAAAATGATTGAAAAACTTGGATTCCTCTTCCCGTAGTTCTTCGAAAAAGTGATACGAATGTGCCAACTTCATCCCTTCTTTTGTTGATAGGATGCACCCAGTACCGACGATGTTTCTTCGATTTTGTCTACGACGGTTTTTCGATTCAAAAGGTATAACACGTATGAAAGGTCGCACAAAACTAACTGAACTTACGAAGACGGTACGGTGATGTAGAAACAACCGTATGGTTATTTGCCGTACGGCGAAAATCGTTGTGTGTGAAACAGGCCTTAACCTCTGAGGTGCTGTCTGAGCGGCGGCATGTAAACATAATGTCTTTATTTTTTTAAAACGGCTACGCTCATAACGTCGTCATCTCATGTATTCCAAACGTGATTGGTGGTCGACTAGTACACAAAGTTTCAGATATTCGAGATTTGAAACAGGTAGCGCACAAATATGGTAGGACCGTCAAAACGAATACGTTTTGATGAAGCACTTCAGAAGTGGTGTGATGAAGGTGATAGTAATGCTAGTGACATTGACAATGTCCTGGAGGAGAATTACGATAAGTCTGATCATGATAGTGCCTCAGATCAATCAGTGGACGACAGTGGTGATGAAAACGAACCGCTGATAAATCGTGTTAAACATTTTTATGGCAAAAATCGATTTAGATGGCGCAAAACTGAGGTAAATCCATCATCCCGTGTACGTCAACATAACATAGTTATCAAACTGCCTGTTTTGAAAACCAAATCTAAAAGCATCGGAACACAAGCAGACCCTTTAACAGTATGGCAGATCTTATTTAGTGACGAAATTATGACTAATGGTATACGCTGGACAAATAAAAGACTTGCTAAAATCAAGGTAAAACTGAGCTGAAAGATCTTCATATTATCGAGCTTTTATTGGATGCCTTGTCTATACCTCGATCTTGAAACCAAATTATGAAAATCTGGACACATTATTTGCAACTGATGGCACTGAAAGGGTAATATTTAGGGCTGTAATGAGTTGTGACAGGTTTGGTATACTATTATCATCTTTACGGTTTGATAATCCCGATCGTGATCGACGCAAGAAAGAAAATCCTGCAGCCGCAGTTTTAGAAATATTTGAGCAAAATTTTTTAATAATTGTAATTTTCAAAATATAGAGTTCTCGAAAAAGAAACGTTACCCATTAAAAGGTTAATCGATATTTTTGTTTCTTAAACAAAAAAAAAATTGTATTATTTATTGTATTAATTGTATATTACTTCTCGTAAGCTTAAAATATCAACTGCCTGTCGAGTATCTTGGTTTCTTCCGAGACTATTTATGTTTCTATATTATAATATGATTGTTGGTTCTATATCATTTGGTGTATATATTTTTAATTATGACTTAACATACTTAATTTGCACAAAAATATTCAGTTTAAAAGAATCTTTGGAATCAAATATTGTATTCGTATTAGAATACATTTTTGTTTGTGTATTCAGCATTCGAATTCGTATTCAAATATTATTTTTCGGTATTCGACCCAACACTGATTGTGAGTTGGGTTGGGTTTTTCCATCAGTTTGGAACAGCAGGCTGAATTCATAAAATTGGAAACGACTTACCGACTGGATGTTGTTTTCCTTGGTTTTTACTTAGAAGCTTAGCTGAAAAGAAAAAACAAATTAATTTATTGCAACAAAAAATGAATTAATACGATACCTTTTAGCATCCATAAAATAGCAATCCGATGATCCCAACATCACTAAAGTCACTAATATCACTATCATCACTAACATATAGCACAAACACAACACGTATTTATCACATAATTTGCGTAATAGGTTTTAATTTTCGCAACTACTTTATCACCCTTACAAGTCCGCACATCAACTAAAATGCGTTATTAGCGAATCAACTTCCAAACATCCCCTCTTTAATTTATTGTGTGGCGAAGGAATAGTGGAGGTGAATAAACAAAAAACGTAAGGACGTTGGGGCGAAGCGGTTTTAAATCGTTTTTTGCTGTTAAAACTCGACCTTTCAATAAAAAAATTCCTCGTTTTCTCGAAACATTTCAACTAAAACTTACGTAATTTTATTAAAATAATACGCACTAATCGAATTTTAATGTGCAACACTTTCAGGAAAAGAATCAGGGGCCCAATCAACGAATTAAAACGAAGCAATCCAACACGTTGGCTTTATCCATCATCCCTTATTCATAAAATATAAATTTTAAAAATCGTATCTCAAAAACGAATTGAAATAAGCAAATTTGATGAAGATTTAATGTACCATAAATAATTTTTTATTTTCCATAAATATCGTTGTTATGATTATTTAAATCCACCTCTGCATGTTTGATTTGCTATAAACACAGCAGGCCTATGTTCATCCTTCTTTAAACCGGGGGACATTTCCAATTATTGTCCAATTTCATCAATCTTAGCAGTATTTGGCAAGATTTTTGAGAAATTAAGTCTAAAATCGATCCTATGCAATATGGCAAGATATTGAACCTATAATAATTTAGATGACTCTTAATATATAGATATATATCTTAATATATTTTTAAAAACTTTCCATTAAAAATCTATACTTTATTTTTAGGCCAAATGATCCAGAATCAAATTGGGCAATAATCGAATTACAAGGAGATTTAAAATCTGATTCGGAAACAAGTTTTAATAATAAATTTATAGGCGATCTTCATTTTACAAAGACTGGAACACCGTTACTAATTATTGGTCATCACATTCTATATGGAAATGAATCCACAATGGAGAAACCCTTAGCAGTAATGGAAAAAGTTAAGTTAATGGATAATGAATCTATTGAATATGTAATTAAAAAAATTATTACTAAAAAAATTATTTTTAAAACACGTCCAAAACCTATTGTTAGTTTATAAATTATTTTCATATAAATAAATGTTACTTGTAAAAATACTTATTTTTTATTATCACATTGTAAGAAACATTATAAGAAATTACATGTTTCAAGAAACAAAAAAATAAAAGTTGCTAACATTCATTTAAACAAACCAGTCTTATTTGTTGAAATAATAATTAAACCTGTTGTATTTCCAAATCTGCAGGAATCGTTATGCCTCCAGTATCCACAGTTTCGTCGTTTTGAATCGATGTTAAAAAACCATGCTCAGTTTCTTCATCATCTTCAATTTTGCTAGCCTAAGGAAATTAAGTTTAAAAATAAAAAACTACATAAAATCTAAATTGTTTGAATTTAATTAACCTTTTTAGTTGTTCCACTCGGATCATCACATTTTTCTTGTTCATCCATTAAACATAAACCATCTCCTTCAACGTTAACTTGCTGTTGACCTTGAGGTGTTTTGCTACCAATTGTTTCATGAGCTTTTTCATGTTTTAATGTAATATTTTTGTTAATACTATGAAAAGAACAATGTTTACAAAAATGTACACCATCTTTTCCAGGATGTTTTGTTGCAACATGTTGTTTATAAGCTACACTTTGAATTGATTGATAAGAGCAATGTGGACAAGAATATTTTTTTGTCTACAATAAAACAGTTAAAATCAATTAAAAAATAAAATAGAATTATTGAACGGTAGCCAAATTAGCGTTGTTGTGACAGATTACAAATTCAGTTTAATCTAATAAGTATATTTCCTTAAAATTGCAGTATAGTACATTTCCGTAATTAAATATCTTTTTACTGCAATATGATAAAAAAAGGTTAACAAAAACAGTGGGGGCTTTAGAAGTAGTGTAAGCAACATTTGCCACATAGCAAGTAGGACCTAATGAATTTACCTAATACTCAAAAATGTTATGTTGAGTATTATTTGGGTTAAGGTTTTACGTCCTCCGGTTTATTACATACCTCATAGGGGCCAACCACGTCTGGAGTGGTTTCGGCAACGTAGTCGAAGTACTACGTGTCCCACAGGGCCATACTAGAGCCATATTCTATTTTGGATAATGCAAAGGTCAGAAATAGGGACTTGTACATATTGTTGTTAGAAAAGGTACACAAGGTACGAAAACAAAACCAAGCGTCCTTGCTGCGGAAGATGTAATATCTTCAATGTGCGGTACAAAAGACAATTTGCGGTCAAAAATAACACTCAAATCTTTGATTGTAGATAGTTTCTTAAGAAAAACACCTTCTATACCGGGTGTCCTTCAGAAGTGGCTCACCCCCATATTTTTTTTTTATTATTAGTGATATAAGAAAACCATTTGGAGTGCATAATTAGGCCGTTAAAACGGATTATTACGACATGAAATCATACTCTTTGTACTTCCGGTTATACCGGATGTGACTAATTTCGCTATTTTTTTAAATCTATAATTTTTTTTTCTTCAGATGAGTAGACAGCATAATTTCACATAACTTTTACTTGAAAAAATTTTCATGATCGCTTATAATTTTTGAAAAAAAAGTTATTTCCGTTGTTTTTCAACGTTTTAGTATCTTCAGAAAATGTATTACTACTTTTGACGCATAGTAGCTAGGTTAATAGTATAAACTACGTTATGTTCCTCTTGATTTGCTATTTCTCGAGCAGTGATCACTGCCACGCTTTTGTCCGCGGTTCTTTTTTAATAATGGTGTAAATTAACAACACTATTAAATATCTAATATCACTAAATATCACTATTAAATAATCACTTAAATATCACTATTAAATTAGTTTTAAAAGAAAAACGCGAACAAACAACTAAATTTAATTCAATTATTTTTGATCTTATTTTTTATTTGTTGTTCTTTTACACTAAATGTTCTGTAGCTGATGGTAAATTACAATGTACAATGTCCATTGTACATTATGGTTTGATTGTTTACTTTATTTTGCTTAAAACCTATCAAGGTGGCTATGGAAAAAAAATGGCTAGCAATTTGACATAACGTAAATTAAGTAACGTAATTAAGTTCATTAGTTGACAATATTCGTTAATTTCAATTTAAATTATGGAAAAATTCACGCAAATCGAAAAAGTAGATATGATATTAATATTTGGAGAATGCAGAAAAAACGCAGTTGCTGCTGCTAGACTTTACGCGCAGAGATTTCCTGGTCGTCGCCACCCAACAAAGCATTACTTTCCAAAAATTGTGGCGAAAATGCAAACAGAGCCGGTCAATAATGGAAACCCTAGATACATTGTAAGTGGCGATACGGAACGAAATGTTTTGGCATGTATCAAAAATAACAACAGTGCATCAGTTAGGGAGATTGCGATACAGTGCGAAATTTCAAAAACATCGGTGTGGAGAATTTTAAAAAAACATAAACTTCGTTCTTACAAATACCAATTACATCAACATTTGTACGAGAATGATTATGAAAGACGACTCCACTATTGTAATTGGTATTTAGAAAGATATGAAAACGATAATGCATTTCCCTTCAAAATTCTGTATACAGATGAGAGTCGATTTACTAACTTGGGTATGTTTAATCGAAATAATAAAAGGTATTGGGCACAAGAAAATTTATATTTGATGGAGGAAGGGAATTTCCAAGAAAGATTTGGTTTTAATTGTTGGATGGGAATCATTGGAGAAAGAGTGGTGGGTCCAATATTTTTTGATGGTCATCTTACAGGGGAAAGATACCTCAACTTCCTTAATAATGGAATTGAGGATCTGCTGGAGGACCTACCAGTTGGAACTTATAATGGACTAATTTTCCAACAAGACGGCGCCCCACCTCACAACAGCAGAGTGGTTACTGATTTTTTAAGCAGAAAGCACAATAACGATTGGATTGGTAATAATGGACCAATAAAGTGGCCACCACGGTGAGAACAAACCGATTCTTTCTCACATTTCTCCCTATTCCTATCTTTTTACCTTCCAGATCACCTGACCTCACACCTTTAAATTTTTTTTTATGGGGCAAAATCAAAAATGAGGTGTATAATACACCTGTAAGGTCTCGTGAGGTATTAGAAAATCGTATTAGAAACTGTATTACCCAAATATCTCCGCAGGAATTACGTCGAGTTGTTAGATCGACAATACGGAAGATACAGTTATATCAAAATCGAGGCGGGGAGCATTTTGAAAATATAGAAAATTAATTTTTTGTACTTATAATTGAATTAAATTTACTTGTTGTTTCGAGTTTTTGTTTTAAAACTGATTTAATACAACTGTTAATTTACACCATTATTAAAAAAGAACCACTGACTAAAGCATAACAGTGATCACTGCTCGAGAAATAGTAAATTACGAAAAAAAAATTATAGATTTAAAAAAATAGCGAAATTAGTACTCACTTCCGGTATAACCGGAAGCACAAAGAAAATGATTTCCTGTCGTAATAATCCGTTTTAACGGCCTAATTATGCATTCCAAATGGTTTTCTTATATCACTAATAATTAAAAAAAATATGGGGGTGAGCCACTTTTGAGGGACACCCGGTATAATAAGTGGATTTTACCAAGACGTCCAAGTCCCACTGAAGACTGACAAGATCACGGGCCGAAAAAATAGGTCGAAATAGTTTCAGATCATCCACATAGGCTAGTACACTAGATGAGAATTTGCCTCGAAAGTCAATCAAGAAGACAACAAATAGTAGAGGACCTAGATTTAAGCCTTAAGGAACACCAGACCTTACCATAAACTCTACGGACGCATAACTTATCCTACTCGACAGGTAAGAGGTAAATAGTTTCATAAGCTTAGGAGAAACCCCAAAAGCAGTAACTTTATACAAGAGGACGTTATGATGAATCATATCGAATGCCTTAGAAAAGTCAGTGTATACCACATCCACCTGACTGCCCCTATCTAAAGATTCACAAATCACTTCCATAACATAGTAATCGTTCAACGATGCTTGATAAACCAATGTTGATATGGTGATACAAATGACTGAACTTGTGTACGCCATGTTGGAATACAGGAACAATGCGTGAGCGCTTCCAAAGATGAGGAAACGAGCAAGTGCTTAAAGATAAGTTAATTATGAAATGAAGCGGAACGACAAAAACTACACTACAATCACGAATAAAAAATGCATCAATACGTAGAGTGTAACATCAACCATGTTGTAAGCAGACACACAAATATATATTATAGAGAACTGTTTTGCAAAAGCATTAACTATATTATCAGGATCAGTGCAGATTGATCACACGTCATCTTACCAGGAAGTCGAGAGATCGTTGTTTTGTCTTATACAGGTGTATCTGAATAACTGCAACAACCTTCAAGGGGTGATTCTTTAGTGAATTTTATGGGTATTTTAATATATGAATGGGCGACTTCGGCGCCCCTAAGGAGCTACACCCCTTAAAAAATGGCGAAAGATTTTGGTTTAATTCTTTTTTCTCGAGAACTATAAACACCAGGAAAATGAAATTTGGAGAATAAGTTTAGCTCTTAATACGGCACATTTCTAGCTTATTTGTACTTTCAATATTCCCTTCTAAGTTACTAAACGTAATCACCCTCGTTCAATTTATGCCTAGATTTTTTTTTAAGATAATACGAGCCCGAACTGCTATACAGGTGTCCGCTGAGGTATCCGAGAAACTTTGTATATGAATTCTATAATTAATTTTAAGCACAAATGATTCTATTCACTTTTCTCGAATTCCAAACGGTTGTTGAGATATCGAGGTTTGAAGTTGACAGATCGTATGAATAAGATGTTAAACAGTACAACACATTGCTAGGTTGGCTATGGAAAAATTGCGGTTTATTTTAATAAAAGCTTAATGACACTGCAATTATTAAAGCTGGTCAGTGTGACCACCGCCTTGTGCAATGCATTCAATCCTTTGTCGGAGCTCTCGTACCCAATTGTAGTTCTCCATATTGTTTATACCTCTCGAAACGCTGCATGAATGTTTTGTATAAGTTGGTCTCTATTATTAGGCTTTCCCGTTGAATACGTAAGTGTCTTCACATGTCCCCACATGAAAAAAATCTAGTGGGGTGAGATCCGGAGATCGCGGTGGCCAAGCAATGGGACCACCACGACCTATCCATCGATTTGGATACTGTTCATTGAGAAAATTCGTGACAATTCTTGCATAATGGACGGGAGCACCATCATGTAAAAAGAACATTGTTCTTCTAATTTGAATAGGAATGTCCTCAAGTAATAGAGGTAGATCGTTCTCCAAAAAAGCCTGGTACATTTCGCTGTTCAAATTTCCGTCGAAAAAATGCGGTCCAATAACAACATTATTAATTATTCCAGCCCAAACGTTTACGGAGAATCTACTCTGGAAATGGGTTTCTCGAACAGCATGAGGGTTTTCGAATCTCTCACATGTTCGTTATGAAAATTGTTGATTCCATCTCTAGTAAATGTAGCTTCGTCACAAAAAAAAGTATCCAGATGATTTCTCCACCATTCACAAAGGCGAACTCTTTGAGGAAGATCCTCGGAAAGAAGTTGTTGTACTGGTTGGTAATGATAGGGATGCAGCCCGTTTTCCTGCAAAGTGTCATGCACAGCCGTCCTAGCTTGTCCAGTAAGTACAGAAATTCTTCTCGTACTAGTACCATCATCATTTTCAACAGCCTCAAGCACTTCTGCAGCATTGTTTCTTCGCCTAATTTCTCTTTCACAAGTCGATTTAGGGAAGGCACCTCTTAATCGAAGAGTTGTGAAGTCTCTACCGAAGATTTGGTTGTCTGGAAGACGGCGGTTTGGGTATCGTCGTTGATATTCCCTAACTGAGGCGGTGGTACTACCGTTGCAATATCCATACACGAAAACCATGTCCGCATACTCTTCATGTGAATAAGTTGCAGGCATGATTTTAGCACAATTAATAATGATGACAATTAATGACCTGAATGTCAACAATTTTATTCTAATATCAATTAAATGGCTAATTATTCAATTACCTAGCAACATGTTATTTACTGTTTAGTATCTATCCATACGATCTGCTAACTTCAAATCTCGATATCTCAACAACTGTTTGGAATTAGAGAAAATTATCCGAGAAACTTCATATACGAAGTTTCTCGGATATCTCAGCGGACACCTGTATATTGGGACATAATATAATTAACAACAATTAAACAGATTATTTAGTTTTAATAAATTTTTCAAATTAATATCATTTGATTAGACAATTAACAACAATTTTGTCTAATGAACAACACAAAAAACAAAATACATATCCTATTACTTCTAATTAAACTAGAAAAATGTACATTTTGCCTAATAACTAAATATTAAGACATGGCACGATTTGTCTTCCTAATATAGAGTAACATCGCCCTTAGTTGGGCATTGAATTCACTAAGGTTCTGCACTGCTCGGAAGTAAATCCATCCCAAATTTGTTTTATTTTGCCTTTAAGTTCTGGCAATGTCCGTTGTGGGTTGTTCCTCAAAGTTTGTTTCATTTTGTGCCACACTGTTTCAATTACATTCAGATCTGGACTGTTAGAAGGCCAAGACAGAACATTAATATTTTGATCGCCAAACCACTTTTTTGTAGTTTTGGTCGTATGATAAGCCGCTCCATCCTGCTGAAATATGTAATTTTCGCCAACATTTAACTTCACAATACTTGGTAGTAAGCTGTTTTGTAGTATTTGTTGATATTTTGCTTAATTGTTATTATCCTAGCCTTCTTTGATGTGGTTGTGTGTTAAGTTAATTTTTTTGCTCTCTTTGATAGTTTATTTTCAGAAGGTGCCGTTCGTTAATTACATTTTACTTTAATTATTTCGATTGCCAATGTTTTCGGCAAGGCGGGCGGTAATGTTCAGAATTATACTAATTGTAATTATTCATTTCAAATTTAGTTCAATTTACTGTCCGTCTAGCGCATTTATTTTCAACTTTGTAATTTTCTTCGAGCAATGCCGGTGACCTTCAAAAACTGGTTTTTATGTTAAAAACCATGTTTTATGTATTTATCACCTTCACAAAAAAAATCTAGGCAAAAATTGAACGGGGGTGGTCATGATTAGTAATTTAGAATGGTAGGTTGAAGGTACAAATAGGATCAAAACGTGCCCTGTTATGAGTTAAACTTATTCCCCAAATTTCATTTTCCTGGTGTTTATAGTTCTCGAGAAAAAAGAATTAAACCAAAATCTTTCGCCATTTTTGAAGGGGTGTAACTCCTTAGGGGTGCCGAAGTCGTCCATGGTTCATATATTAAAGTACCCATAAAATTCACTAAAGAATCACCCCTTGAAGTTTGTTGCAGTCAATCAGATACACCCTGTATGATTCCAAAAGTTACGCAGATCAGAACTAAGTGATTGTTCAGCACTAATAGTAAAGGAAGAGATTTTCTGTTTAGTCAAACACCTCAGTCTTTTATATTCCGCTGAATGGAAACCACTACTACTTCTCCTCCACTTCTTCCTATAATACTCTTTCAGCTTTAATAGCTTAATTTCTGGGGTGTACCAAATAGGATATGATGATCTACGACACAATCTCTTCGGAAAAAATAAATCGGACGAAGTGTCGGCGCTCAGACCGCTCACTGTCGAGCACTCATTTTTCTTCAACTCCTGACAGAAACTACTCAGGGTTTTAAATTTTGAAATAACGTCGTTCGGTCCAAATCCAGGAATATTTAGCGCATTAAAAATTCTCTCAGCTGCTGTTATTCTCAAATCTCGGTTTCTGTAGTCGTCGATAGTTGCATCATACAATACTAGTTCACTAGCATACAATTCGAGAAACTTGTCTTGAAACATTGTCTTGTAATTTAATAACACGACTTTTCATTATATTACTGGTTGCCATCTTGAACCGGTATACGTAAGCGCACTCACGACAAAAATCGAACCAGTTTGATCGGAAACGTGAGCCACGCTTGCCTGTGACAAGTCAGACAAGAAGGTGAGTACTTTTCCTTCATGTTATAGAAGCTGAAGACCTGCAGAGTGGCGTACTTGGTCGAATTTTGTACCTGTTATATAGCAGTTTTACCCCTGTGATAACCGGACGACGTGACGACACCGCTGTTTTGGTAATTGACGCAAGTGTTGAAGAAGCAACTGCAAAGTTAGAGTATTATAAACCAAATTGGTCAATGGGCTGAAATCTTGCAAGTAAAGATGAACGAAGGAAAATCTACCCACCAATAGAATTATGGTACCATATTCTGACACAGCTACATACCTTGGCAAAATGCTGAATTGGTCATATACAAGTAAAGTTGTTGCTTGTGTAGACCTATGATATCCAGCTATGGCGCTGCGTAAGTGAAACTGTGATATTTGCTAACCATATGCCTCAATATCTCAACTTCTTTCAAAAAAACATGTAACTAAAACTAATTGGCCCAACTACGCTATTAACCTCTCTTGCCACGCTGGTACCTTTATGGAGTTTAAAAGACAAATTCTTAAGAGGGTCTTCCCGTGTGATTGGTTCAAAAAAATCGAGTTTTTTAAATACGTTTTTCTCAAAATTGTATTTTTCTAAACGGTGATCATGATATCTCGGAATTTATCGAACGAATTTTTTTCAAATTTGAACAACTTTTTCAGTATTGTAAGTACTTTGCATACTAAGATAATTTTGATTCGTCAAGCCGTTTTTTTTTTCGTGGTGAGGAAGTCGTAAAAATCATCAAAATTCACAAAAAAAGTTCAACATGATGCCAATCATTTTTTAATAATCTTCAAAAACCAGTTCATACTTTACAGATTATAATACCGTTTGGTTTTTTATTTCTAATAAGCAGAACGTCTGCAAAGAACCGCAAAACACTATTTGTTGAAAATGAGTGGCTAAGATGCAATGTATTTCAGAAATGAGCGACGGTTTTGGGGTGCAAAAATGGTAGAGTATGTCCAAAGTAAGAATAAATATGTGGTGAAAAGTTTGCAGCTGTAGGATTATTCGATTCTCCAAAAAAACTTTAAAAAGAAAGCGAAAGAACCCCTTAAAACGAAAATTTGTTTTCATGTGTAAGAATTTGTTTTAGTTTGGCTACTATTCAATAATTCAATATTACAATGTATTAAAAAAATTACCCCTTCATGTCTCATTAGATGTCTTCTTAAAGAATTATGATCACCCGTTCTATAAGAACAAATATGACAACTATAAGGTTTTTCCCCTGTATGTTGTCGTAAATGTAAATCTAACATGGCTTTCCTCGACGATTTATGTCCACAAATATTGCAAACATACGGTTTGAATTTATTATGAACACTTTGTATGTGTTTTTTTAATCCTTTCGAATCGGCAAAAATATTATTACAAATATCGCATTTTTTGTGCGAACTCCAATTCGGGGCACTTTGAGAATGATTCAAATGCAAAACTTGATGGTTTCTTAGTTGACTCATCTGTTTGAAACGTTTACCACATTCATTACATAAAAATTCTTTTTGTTCTTTATGAATCAACATGTGGGATAATAATTTATGAGCAGAAAATGCTTTATAGTTACATGTAACGCAAGTTAATAACCCGGCATCAATTTCGTGACATTTCCATAAATGTAAACTACAAATTCGCCATATAGAAAATTGTTTTTCGCAAGTTGGACAACGGAATTGTTTTTTATTTCCGTTTACGTGACAATGTTCGTGTCTTAACCGATAATCTTCCAATGCAAAACGTAAATCGCAACCTTTTACCGAACATTTAACTTTTTTTGACGCCTTATGTTGGCTTTTAATTATACTAATATATTCTTGTGTTCTTTGTTTATCGCCGGCATCTTTATTTTTATTTTCTTTTTGTTTATTATCTGATGCAGTTTGAGATTTTAATTGGTGATTTTTTATCATATGCGCTTTTAAATCCTCGGTATTTGTGTAACCTTTGTTACATTCACTACATAAAAGAATAACTTGTTTGCTTTTATTAACATTTGTGTTTAAGATAGATTTCATTTTTATTGGAGTTTTAGGAGGATTTTGTGCGCATTTTCTTTTAATCAAATGTTGAGATATTTCATCAATCGATTCTGTTAAATACAAACATTTTTTGCATTTATAAGCCGTAACGGTTTCTATTTGTTCCCCCAAATCTATTACAACTTCTTTATTAGTATCAAATTTTCCACCATTTGAAGTTAATTGATCTTTATCTATATTAATTATACTCCCATCCGGGTTTAATAATTGAATTGTTTCCCTTTTATTTGCCCCCAAATCATTTATGTTTATCAAACTATCTGATATCTTTTTGTTATAATCATCTTTCTTTTTAAAATTAACCTCGTAAACTTGATGATCAGAATTTACAATAATTTCCATCTCGTTACCTTCTGTATTAACGCTTTGAGCGTTCTCATCACTCTCCTGCATTTCACTTTGAAGGTTCAACTGCAACAGGACATCGTTTGGAAGAAATAAACCATTTGACGTAATGAAACCTTCACTTGGAACCTTAATAAAATTATAAATATAAAAAATTTAATTGTTAATTATTTTTAATTACCTCAATAGGATATTCATCCGTTTCCTTACATTCGATGGTACCTGCTGGCAACTCGCTTTCTTCCTGTAGAACAATTTTACGAGTCTCCAAACTAATTTGTCCTCCAGAAGCATCTATTTACATTAATTAAATTTTATTTGCCTCAAATTAATATTATATATCGACTCGGAGCCTGCAATATCTCCTAACTGACATTTTTGTTTAAACTAGCATTTAGGAGGGGTTAAAAGAAACATCGAAGTGCGCATATAAATCAGTCTAATGCAACACCTCCTCATATATTCACGCTATTATTGCGCACAATACCTCTAATAACGACAACCCACTGAAAAATAGTATTGTTCAATTGGAACAAGGAAGTGTTGAATGTAACAAAACTATTTCACCAAGTAGTAGTACTAGTTGTGATATTAGTTCAGATGAAAATAATTATACAAAGGAAAGTGAAACTTCATCTGATCAATGTGAAGTTGAAAATTTCGACGATTCTGAATGTAAGTTTAACTTTAATAATAATAGTTACGTTAATAGAATTACGTCATGTTACAAGTTGAAGTTCATAAAATTGAAGCTGAACACGATGAGCAAGGAAATGGGAGAAAAAGAAAATTAAGAGCTGACAAAGAATCATGGATTCGTGAGAAATACAAGAAGTTGCGAGAACAAGGTGAAAAGAATTTAGGATTCTCCAAAAAGAAAAACGAAAAAATGAAACAAGACACGCCTCGAATGGAAAGGAAGTTAAAACCAGCATGCAAATCAAAATTTTATAAGAAGTCAAAGACGAGGAAGTGTTCGGATATAACAGAGAACCACAGAGAGAGCTTATTTGAGTATTTTTGAAAGAAGATGTTATGGGTTCAAAGAAAAGTAAACATATCTACACATGTTGAGAAGTATCAGTAAAGAGAAAGACGACTGCTGAAGGTCATGAATCAAGGAAACAGGGATACCATCTGAATACCAATAACAAAAGGCAGCAAGTTTTCCGTACCATGTTTTTAAACACTTTTAATTTATCATACAAGACAGTGCAGGAATGGGTAAACAACAGCCACTATGGGATACACCAGCATTCAGAACAAAAGTTAACAGTCAGCTGTAAAAACTTCCATAGCCTCAAATGGTCAAAAAATGAACAAGTTTTTTGATGAACTGCCCAAACTACTCTCAAAACTGTTTCTGAAACCATTTTTAACATTGAAACCACTTATTGTGAAGATAACAATTTGCAGGATTTGTCTAAAAAAATACTTCTACCAACGATTTAAAGACAAAAATTTATCTACACCGGGTGTTTAAAAATTGTGTTCGGATATTTTGCCAACTTATAGTTCTCATATAGATAAACAAAAAAGTTTTAGTAAACCTAGGTCCTAAAAGCAGTGGTTTCGAAGATATAAACAATTCCAGTGTTATTAGTGAATGAAGCGTCTTGGTCTTCAAATATTTATTTAATTGGGGAAAATACAAATAGAACATAAAAACTAAACACAAAATGTTTAAAGTAAATGCTCTACGTGACCTTCCTCCATTTGAAGACATGCTTGACTCGTGACTCCTGGAGATTGGCGAATAGTCTTACATGCGTTTAGTATTCTTTGTTGGAGATCCTGCAAGTTATTAACATGTACTGAATACACTAATGATTTTAAGTAACCGTATGCAAAAAAGTCTAGAGGATTTAAATCAGGTGATCTAGGTGGCTAAACTATTGAACCTCCTCTTCCTACCAATTTTACTACCATAAAATTCAGTATTAAGAAAATTACGAACAATGATTGCAAAATGTGCAGGCGCGCCATCATGCATGAACCATATTTGTAACCTATCCGGGAGTGGATAAAATATCCGAACACAATTTTTCAAGTCTTCTTTGAAATATACAACTTGGAAACTTTTAAGATTTTCAATTGCGTACTAGTAGGCTAGTGTTTATGAGTATCTATCTGTCAAATTTTTATTCAAGTTATAAGTGTTTATCGTTAGAGTATTTCTTAGCTGTCATCAACTTTCATAATAATGTCATATAAAAATTATGAAAAATGGGACATGATAGTTTGTTTTATACAATCTGGGGAGAATGCAGAGGCTGCAGGAAATTTATATCATAAACGATATCCAGAGAGGCGACAACCTTTTAATGATATTTGGAATGGAATTAGAAGAAGTAGTAGTTCTAAGGGCAGTGGAAAATAATCCACAGATATCAAATCGGCAATTGAATGTAACCACGGGAATTTCAAGAACTAAAGCTAGGCGGAATTTGAAAAAATTCAGATGTAAATCATACAGAACTAGCAAAGTGCATTACCTCAGACCAGGAGATTTTGAACGGCGCATGAATTTTTGCCAATGGTTCTTGGGAAAATGTGACGAAGCACGTAATTTTTCTTTAAATTGTATATTTTCAAATTTAAATTGGTATTTTCAACCGTTACAACTTGTATACATGGGCACAGCACAACGACCATTTAATTGTGGAGCGGAGGAAGGTTTGGTTTTGGCGTATAAGCAGGGATTTTTAGAGGTCGAATTATCGGTCCATTTATTTATGATGATTTCCCCACCTCCGGAAAATATTTGGACATATTAAGGCAACAAATGGAACCTGTTGTTGACGATTTACCTCTAGCGCACCTGAGAAATGTATTTTTTCAACGTGATGGTGCGCTGCCTCACAATGCTGCTATTGTCACCAATTTTTGACCGCAGCTTTTGGTGATTGTTGGTTAGGTAATCAAGGTCCTATTCGTTGGCCGACTCGGTCACCGGACCTAACACCTATGGATTTTTTCCTTTGGGGAAAATTGAAAGATGTTATCTATAAACAGCCAATAAATTCCCGACAGCAATTGAAGAGCCAGGTGCAAGAATGGGATAAATAACAATATGTAAATAGTTCAGTAAAGGTAAAAAACTTTTTTTAATTTCATGTTTGTATTTAAAGTGATGATTTGATTTGTATAAATAAAAATGACAATTTTATCTGAGCAAATGTCAATTTTTCCAATATTGTGAAATCATAGTAAAAAAGCAAATTATGGTACAAGAAGGAGATATGTGAATCCATATTTAATTTTTTTTGGGAGCGGTTGGAGAAAATAACATTCAAAACTTTTTATTATTTAACAGACGGCGAGGAAACACTTTTATCAAACAAAATAAACAAAACAATTTTTAACAACACGTAAAAGATATCAAAAATCTTCCCCAGAAGAGCTACCGACAGCTCTGAAGAAGCCACTGAATCAGAATGTGAGTTTCTTGAAGCATAATACTTCAACTTCTTCGTTTTCTATTGCTTCCAAAGACTTTTCCTTAAAATCGCTATAAAACTATTTGTGGTTTGTATGGACGGTTATCTTGTTTTAGTCAGTGCATATCCGGTTCGTATTTTTGAAGATATATCACACATTATTGATATGTTTAAATCGCTAGACAAGTAATATTTTGTGGTTCTGTTGCGGCTATAATGGGAACATCGTTTTGAGAAACTGTTGTATGCGCATGCACCTGTTCTTTTAAATCATCTGTAATAACTAGAGCTCGGATTCTTCGGTACCTAAGTCCAGTCGCCCAGTTCACGAATGTTGCGTTATTGACGAGCGACGCATAGCCAAGGTCCCGAGTTCTCCGGTCTGCAGCGTTGTCATGGTAATCCATAGGTGCGCGTTAGCAAGGATCTGTATTAACGCTAAATAAGCAAGAAATTATGTACTTTATTATAATTTTTCTCGACTCCCAGTTCTTATTTGGTGAAATTTAATAATTGAATAATAATGACTTTTTCTAAATTTACTTCAGAAAATGACGACCTAACTCGACGTCACAACTGATAACTGGCACAAATGTAACTGCTAGAACTAACAGGCCATATTTAGAAGATATTTCTTGGTTGCAAAATGCTACATTGTTGTCAATTAATGTGAACGTATCGCCAAAAATCGCTATTAAGTGTGCCATTGGAATAAATTATAAAAACTAAAACAATAGGGTAACTCAGTTAATAAAAATCAAAATATTAACTCTTAACAGAAGTAGTTTTAAATTATAAAACCTAAAACAACAAGGCACTTCTAATTAAAACAAATCAAGAAAATATTCGATGATAATTAAATAAAATATTCAATACACTCCGTTTGAAATTATAAAAACTGAAACAATAGTACAATTCTAATTCAAAAAATGATGGATTTAATAATAAATAAAAAGGATATTAAATGAATTGGTACTGAATTCTCTGAACGGAACACGGATAAATGCAGGCCTGGCATGCTCATAGATGTGTGAGCGATCGGAAAGGTAGATCGCGTGGTGGGAGTGTATTTATGATCGCGCCCCATAGGTTCTGCGCTGTCGACGCTACTGAGACGGTACCGAAATATCCGAGCTTTGGTAATAACACAAGGTCTGTTGGAGTGTCGACCCCGTTTATCTTAAACGGGTGTAATTCTCCCCTAGCCCTTTTAGTTTTTTGTATATTTCGTTTCCATATTTCTTTTACGACCGCGCTTCTGTTTCACCCTTTCTTTCTCGTCAGTCCTATCGCTATCCATTTTAGTAAAGTTACTTTCACTGGAAGAGCTCATCACTGCGTAATGGCATAACTATAGTATGTTCAATTAAAAATCTGTCAACTCTAAGCTACAAAACATTGCGAATGACACATTATAAAACATCAATCAAACACCACCAACATACAAAATTTCAGTATTGTCCTCACAGTACAAAAAAGTCATTATTTACATATGTGTGGTGGGCAAATAATAGTATGGGATCTTATCCCATTATTGCACCCGTCTACAACACGGGATAAGTAATTTTCTCTCACAATTCTGATTCACTTGGCAGAACATAATGCGTATTTATGTTAAACGATAAATACGAATTTTTTTAACAAAAATCCCATTTTCTTAAAATTTTGCGTATATCCCCTTCTTGTACCAGGCTCTTCAATTAGAAGCCGCAGTTGTAAACGCTTTTGCAGCACTTAAGCCTATTAAGCTTATCAACTCGGCAAAAAAGTGTACTTTAATTTAATTTTGTTTTTACTTTTGTTGTTTATTATTATTTATTGTTGTTTTATAATAAGTTTTATTAAGTTAATCTGCTTCTTGTTTATGAATTTATGTTTTAATTCATTGTAACTAACTATCTTAATACTACTTATAAATATCATCTCGTTTTTGCTTTATTTCCAAAGTCTACTTTTTCAAAATCTGCACAAGTTTTAAAGTTGTATATTTCAAAGAAGACTTGAACGAAATATCAAGTGTACTATATTTTATGCTCTCGTCGAATTTGCAAAAAGATGTTTAATTTAAAAAAAAAACATTTTTATGTCAATAACTACTAAAATATTGCTTCGAAGGAAAGTTAACTTATTTCATCGAATTTTACATAAAAAGTTGCTTTGGAAACGTTTCCACCAAAGAAATTGTATATATAGAAGCAGTTGAAACAATGAACGTGCACAGATCGGACCAGCGGCTGATTATCGCCGAACATTCCCGAATATTATTGCCCCTAGAATAAGGCATGCCACTAAAATAAATAAACCTATTTGCGAATCAATAAATGATTCGTTTTTCTTAATTTTTATTTATTTATATTTTCTTTGTAAATAAATTGTATGTAGATTATACTAGTGCTTTTAGTTAGATATAAAACTTATCAATCAAAATACTACATACATAATTGTATCATTTACCAAGTTGTTCTACATAGTACTACTCTTCAAGTAGTAGTTTCTACGTCCTCTGATTAATTTAAAAGATTACATTATATTTATTGTGTTTAACACTTTAAAGTCTTATTAAAACAAAGATATAGAAAAAAATGCATTCTACAATTTATAAAGGTGTTACGATAATAATTTTTCAATTAGTAGTTAGTTTAACAATCAATTTTTGATTGTAATTTTATATAAGAGATTAGGGTGCTCTTTGGATACGCCACTAGATAAAGTCTCACCAATTTCATCTAAATCGTATACGCCACTGTCGCTAGGACCAAGGTCAATTTTGTTTCCAAACATATGCTCTTGCGTTGGCTTCAAACCGGTATACAGGCGAACATAGGCGATGCAGCTTCTATATATACAAATTCTTTGGTTCCCACAGAAAGGAAGATTTATCAATAACAAAAAAGTTATAACGCCTTTTCGAAAACGCACATTTTTGAAAAAGACCTGTATCTCTGAAACCGTAAGAGATATAGATATGCGATTTTCGCCATTAAGTTTCTTAAAAAAATCGAGCCTCAGACAGTGATATCATTTTATCGAGCCTCAGACAGTGATAAAAATTCTGCAAATTGAAACATCTTCAAGAACTCAAGTCAGTCCTACCAAGAGATGTCCACCATTTTTAGGACAATTTACCTCACTAAGCATTTTGTTTTCTGTTATGCTTTTACTATAAATTATATTAGGTTTATTACTGTCGTATTAAAAAGATAAAGTTAGTGTTTATTTTTTACTTTGCTACTCCTTAGCCTTGAGTCAAAAAATCCTATGTTACATTAACTTAAATGCAATACCTCCTAACTTGAAATAAAAACATAATAATGACACCATTGGGTGTTTAATTTTTTTCCTGTCATAAAGTGTATAATAATAACTACAAAGTACCAAAATTCAAAATAAATATAAAAATAAGAGTAACAAACCATTATTAACTTCTCCTAAAAAGTTAGTCTAACAACAGTTAGGAGATATTGCAGGCTCCAAGTCGATATATTATCTTACCTTCTGTAATTACCGATCCATCCAAAAAAATTGGTAAACCATCAATAGTCCAAGCATGAGTACCAGCATCAAACTCTTCAAAGATAGTTTCACAATTCAAAGTGGGATCTTGTACTCCCAACGCAATATCATTGCTTTGTAGTAAAAAACTGCTAGTTATGCTGGGTTTCTCCCTCAAATAATTTAAATAGGTTATATCATCGGTTGAGTCCATGGTGGTGGTCATTTGTGGAGTGTATTTTGTTTAATTTAGATGAGTGTAATGTTCGGGGTTATCTTTTATTTAGGTTATGTATATTGTCATATCTTGTGTGCTGTTGTTGTACGTGGACGGGCCTTTGGTTGCTTACGGGATTCTTCCTTGTAAAATTTTTAAATTTTCCACTCGTGCTAAATATTCCATTTCTTCTTATATTTGATGAAAACTTCTTAAATATTTTCAAGTTTTTCATGTGTCAGTTGGATAAAAAGTAGTGGGGGAATAGTTCCATGTGAATATAGTTACGTAAAATCACCAATTTTAAAAATGAAATTTCCCTATAATAAACTTTTTATTGCTAATAATTTCATTAATAATAATAATTACAAAATCAACATTAATAGTTTTGTTTTGCTAATTCAGGATTAAATTGTGAATTATATTTCTGTTTCATTCCAACTTCTTTGGTTTTAACAGTTTCTTCAGGCTCATTCTTTCCGTTTAAAAGCATTTCAGCTTTTCGCCTTTCTTCCTGTTCTCTTTTCAATCTTTCAGCTCTCATAATCTCCATTTTCCTCTGTTTATTAATCCTTTCTTCTTCATTTTCTGATTCATCAGATGAAGTACTTCGTTTTCTCTTTCTACTTTTCTTATGTTTTTTGTGTTTTTTATGCTTTTCTTTTGTATATACATAGGAATCATATTTTAAATTGATCATTTTCTCATCCTTTTTCTTCAAATTATCTTCCTTTTTGATAGGTTTTAAATCGGTAGTGAATTTTTTAATAATATTTATTGGATCTAATCTGCTTTTACTTTTCATATTAACTTCCTCCTTAGCATTTTTACTTCTATCAGGAGCAACATTATACCAACTTTGTGTTCCCAAAGATTCATGTGTATCTTGTCCAAGGTAAGTTAAATAACCAATTTTCTTTTCATACACTTCTTGTTCTTCTTTTTTCTCTTTATCATGATCTTTATTAGCTGATTTGCACTCATCAATTCCGTCCTCTACTTCTTTAAAGAAATTTACATGTTCTTTTTGTTCTGTTTCAATAACTTTCTCATCTAAGGGTACAAAATCTTGACTTATATCGGAAACACGTTTTCTAGCCTTTTGACGTAATAATTCTGTCCGTGCTTCTCTTTCCTAAGTTAAAAAGTGATTTAAATTATGGTAATAGAATTAAATTTACAATTAAAATACTTACTGCTAATTTGGAACGTTCAACTCTACTTCTTTCTTCTTCAGCTGCTTTGGCTTCATCTCGACGAACTCTTGTTATATTTTCCTTTGTCCGAACATGCCATCTAAAATAAATATTGGATTAGGTTTTTTTATGGAAGGAATAGGTCTATAAATACCTTTTCTTTGGTAAAATATTCATTTTAAATATAACTCTAAATCTTCTAATCTAACTATACATAACGTTACACTGTAAATAGCTTAAAGGGTGGTTTGGTGGTCAAGAAATATGGGTTATTCAGATAACTTAGAATCTGAGGCAAGTAATAGAGGTTATGTTATGACTTATGACGTTTGATAGGCATTGTTACCAAATGTAATTATTCCATAGAAAAATTTTTAAAAAACATTAACAATGTAAAAACATTACAATATTTAGAATCGATTATGGAAATAAGCTATAATGTTTCACGAAAGATGAAATTAAAGAGGAGGCAAAAATATATGAATTGAACCCATTTATTGATTAAAATGCAAATATACAGGTGTCTCCGAAAAACGTGTACAACGGAAGACCACAGATTCCTTGACTCAAAATAGGTCGATTTAAGTTAATTATTTCCAAAGTTGCTTAATTTCGCCGCTAGAGGACTTCAAAGTTAGCAAAATAAATTCTTTTATTTTTAAAAATTCGAAAACGCGTAAATCAATTTAAATCATTTTTCAAAAGTGAGTTCCTAGGTTTAATTAACATCTTTTTATGGTTTCTGATACATATTTAGAAACACATAAATGATGGTAAAGTCATGTGTTCAGCGGATATTACCCTATATTTCTTTTACTGGATAGGCGACAATAATTACATTATTATAATTTCTGAATAGCCCATTTAGTTCTGAAGCTGTTTTGTTTCTTATACGTTTTTGATTACGTAAGTGGATAAGCCAGAAACAAGGCATTTTTAAATCTCAGAATCTCATCGTAGTTGACACTATTTTAAGAAGCAACTTTGGATATAGATAACTTAAGTTAAGTCGACCTATTTTGAGCCAAGGAATCTGTGGTCCTCCGTTGTATCTACACACAATTTTTTAGTCACCTGTATTTATTTATTCTAAAGTTTAATCAAATTCAAAACGAGTGCTAATGAAACATATGACCTTGTTCTCTACCAGTTAGTCAATTCTAGGATCAGTTTTTGTCAGAACTATCATCAAGTCTTTATCCACGGAAATACGATTTGGCTGTACTTTTTATTAATGTCAAAGCTGAAAAACCGGTGTCACATAAATAAGTAGAAAAAAGGCATAAGTAGTCGCAAAGTACTTGCAACTGTGTTTCTATTTCATCTTTAAAATTATCCTCAAGTTTTAATTGCTTCAGATAGCTGAGAAAATGATATAACATTTTTAGTAGACACCTTTTGTTTCTAAAGTTGGAATTTTGGTATGAATCTCTGAATATGGTCATAGTTACTTATTAAAGTGCCATTTTTGCCCTGAACCTTCAAGTTGTTTTCAAGCTGATTCATGATCTCGGTAAATAATCGGCTGTTCAAAGCACTACTTTTGCCGAATTCAAAGTTTGGTATAATTTTTGTCGCAACTTTTCTAACAGCAACTAACCTAACTACAAATATCGTTTCTAAGAAACTTTTGACGGTCATTTAAGTATTTAAACTGAATTGACGATGTGTTTTGTATGTTGATAAAGCTCAAAATCAAAATTTATAGAAATTGGATTACTTTTCTCTGTAAATGATCTTTACTTTTATGGTATCTACCATACACTGTTGGTGCGAAAGGAAAACCTTATTCAAAGTATCCGAACTCAATTCGGAAAAGGCTTTTTCAACAGCAAGAATTAATTCGTCTATAATTTAGCAAGCCGATTCTTGCTGCAATGACTGAATTGTATTAAAAAAACTTACTTTTGTAGGTCCTCTGTAGTTCCTCTCCGTCTTCAACTAGGTAATACGTCTCAGATGTTTTTGTGAGGTAAAACCATTTCTCGTCTACATGAATTCGATCATACATATCGATGAATTCGGGAGCTTTTGCATTTAAACTTTCTGGTTTAACTATTGACAGACAGTATTTCAGTCATTCAATTTTATTGGCGTCTGTGAGGAAAGGCTTGACTGCATTTGAGCGCCGTCGTAATAGTCATGATTTCCGTCTATTATGAACCGTAGAATTTGGTACGTTGATATCAGAAGCCAACAAATGAATAGTACGTAGATTATGTAATGGTACTGACTTTATTAGCGTCATCTCAATATTTCTCGGTTTTTGACCAACGCGTCCTTTTTTTAGTGATTAGCTACCAGGTGCAGTGAACATTTCAAAAGGCAACCAGAGGCCTTATGTCAAAAAGCCAATACAATGTTTTGTGCTGTACTTGAATGTTGAATTCTTTGCAAACATGGCTTCTTGTAGTTCTTGACAAATGAGAATCAGACGATATTTTGAAATGAAAGTATACTTATTTAACAAAACTACTACAAAACTAAAGATCAATTAAAATTATGTCACCCATGTGACGACCATCTTCTTGAATGCACCTCACACTTCAAGTCTGTGGCGGAAGTCCATGACTTTGGCTAAAAGGTTTCGTTCAACCAAATGCACTTCTTCTCTAATATGTTTCAACTGCCTTTAAATACAGGGATGGTGCAGAAAAAAACGATCTTTTAATTACCCCCACAGGAAAAGATCACAGATGAGCAAGTTCGGCGATCTTAGGGGACATATCACGCCACAAGAATGAAAAATAACGTGTTTCTCACTACTTCCATAGATGCCCGGGCAGTATGCACTGTAGCATCTTGTTAAAAAGAAACACTTCCTAAACTTATTCGATGTCGTTCAAGTTCTGGTCGAAAAATCAACGTAACAACGTTCTCCTGAAAGAAATACGGTCTGATTACACAGAAAGGGGTAACTACATACCAAACTGTCACTGGTTATCATGGTTAAGTTCAAACATTGCTAAGATTATACAAAGGTCCGGAGGGAAATATTCACTGTTTTTCAATGCGGATTATTAATGTGCAAACTATTAGTCCCAACAAATATATTATTGTAACTCCCAACTCAGTGTCCACTACAAATTTTCAATCCTTTGGCCATGTCAATGTATCTAAGTCTTTGAGATGAGGTGAAATTTAAATCTTTGTTCCAGGCAAAGACAGTAGAATCTAACAGGACTGCTACATCCATTCCTGAGACAACGTAACCGCACACTACGTCACACTATTTGCCACGCGCAGTTAGCTAGATAGAAGTATTAATGTCCATCATATAACCTCTAAAAACATACAGCAAACGCATAGAACTCAATGACAGCTAACTGGGCGTGGCAAATAGTGTGACGTAGAGTGCGGGCAACCAACCCGTAGTAGGCTACAAAACAACAATGGATGTAGCAGTCTTGGTACATTCTACTGTCCTTGGTTTCAGGTAGTAATAAACAGCAACACTAATTGGCTTATATTTCTGTTCTATCTGTAAGCACTATAGGCATCTATAGAATAGTTCAAAATCTAACAACATTAATTCAAATTACGGAGAATTTTGGCATACCATACGGTATGTAATGGATTGTTGAACAGGGTATGAATGCATTGAAAAGGTAAATTATTTCAGCGTTGGGGCGTGATCAAGCCCAAACCCCATATACAAAATTTCTATTTTTCCTCGTCAGCACAAATTTAAAATTTGAATAAAATAACAAGAAAACAAATAATAAATAAAAATAACAAATGTAATAAACGATAATCAAACCACAATTGACGCAAAAGCAACGCAAAAATACTCAACATAATCTTTGATGGGCTACTGCGAGGAAAGAATTATGCTGCAAAACAGAAGCACAAAGACCCTAGAATTTCTTAATTATTTCATTAATTTGAAATGAATTTCATTTTTTTTAATAGTGTATTGTTTTATATAGAATAGAAAACCTTCATATAATAACTTCTGTTTGCTAGCTATGAAGCTTTTTTGACAAATGTCACTTTCATCAAGACTGATGAAGATCCTTAATGTAAGTTCACTGTCAGTGCTTTCAGTTCCCGTTAGCGAACTTGTAGAGAAGTCCACTTCACATTACCTTCGATTGTGGGTCTGAAGAATATTCATATTTTTATTGCTGTTGTAGGATTTGGTCTGTGGATCTCTATAAATAACTAATACAGGTCGTACATATCGAACAATCTGGAATAATCTTTTGAAAAACGTTTTAAGATTTGCATTTGAAACGAAAAATGTACTATACTAAGAAGGTTTAATGATAATCGAAACTTGGAGTTTTTGGATAGATGGCGTTTAATTTTTTGACGTTTAGTTTGGAAAGACAAATTACGGAGTCGTTTGAAAGGAAAACATTGGATAACAAATTTCCAAAATGCGGTGGTTCAAGACCGATCACGTGTGAACTTGAAGAACCTACTTAATGGCTGGATGTATTGGTCATGAATAAGAGTCACGAAAGCATCGAAGTTTCCGGTACAAGTGAATCGAGTAAAAGTAGTGGAGAGTATTCGATTGAATTTTCACAAGATGCTGATTATGTTATTCCACCAGAAGCCGTTATCGATCCTAATAAACCCAAAGGTAGTAAAAAAGATAAAGGTGGAAAAGGAAAAGATGGTAAAGGAAAAGCGAAAAAGAAGAAGTAATCCTTTTAAAAATTATTGTTGTAATAAAATTATTCATGCCAACCTCCACTGATTAATTAAAAATAATTTACAATCACTTTTAGTGTAGTCAATGGTACGAATTTTGAATATATTATTACTGTTATTGCCAATTTAATTTTTTCGAACAAGAAATAATACTTCTATACATATATGTTAAGATGGAAATTTTGGATTTTTTTGTTGAACGGAGTTTTTAATTCCTGACATTATTTGTAAAACAATATAAAAATTTTTATATTTTCAATTCATCAAATTTGATGTATTTTGTTGTTTTACAACTTGTTAATGAGAAATGAAAACTTTTAGAGCAAAATTTGCAGCAAATTTAATTTTAACTCTCCGAGGGCATCATGGGGCAACTGTGAGGAAAAACTCACAAACAATCATTTCTAAATGGAAAAGCAAGAGGTTGTTGCAAATTTGCGCTTGACAGTAATAATACCCTCCTATCTTATGTCCCAAGAAAGAATAAAGTGGTACTTCTGCTATCAAATATGCACCGTAGAGGCAGTATAAATGATGAAACTCGGAAGCCAGTAATTATAATGGATTATAATGACACCAAAGGGGATACTGACTCATTTGGTAAACTGTGCCACATTTATCCAACAGCAAAACCGACCCGAAGATGGCCTATGATACTCTTTTATGGAATGTTAGATCATAGTGGAATAAATGCTGCCATATTACTTAACTTCCCACATACCAATGACAAAATGAATAAAAGAACAGTTATTAATGACTTGGTCTTTCAGCTAATAGAGCCATTGAAAACTCAACTAGAAATCAAAACCGTAGAAAGATCTCTTAAGAAATGTATAAGGGATATTTGAAAGGTACCAGAAGCAGCTATCAGATGCCACAGCGCCTTATGTGTTCTAATAATGTAAGGTGCTCTTGCACTTTTGTTCTCAGATGCATAGAGATCGAGATAAACACGAAAATATGAAAATTTTATGATTTACTCTTCACTTTTTTTATGTATTATTCATCGTAATAACTCTAATTGATTTAACATTGCAAAAAATACGTTTTTGTAAAGAATGTTATTGCTTCAACAAGCAGAAAGCATAGATTTTTAATCAAGACCTACACACAAAAAAAATGCTGAAATCGTTTTTAATTCATCTACATTGTATTCGCCCATTTGTTGATCCTGCGGTGTTCTGTATAGAGTTTATGGTATATTCCTATAATAATTTGTTTCCTCCCGTACCATCATGTATATAATTTTGGCAGAATCCCTCCCCTTCTCCTCTCCTTCATCACGTCTACCATCCACTCTCTCCCGCTCCACCCAGCACGCGCTCCCACTCCATACCACCCTGCCTCAAGTTGTCACACCTCAGCATATGCTCAATTGTCTCCCAATCATCCCTACATAATCTATACATCCTCTCCTCATCCGCCCAGTTAATCTCATCCGCCCTCTCTTCTATTCTGCACCTAAATCATAGCGTAATCATACTTTTTTCCTTATTTATATTGTAAGTAAATGTTTCCTTCTCATTAGAAATGCAAAATGTAAAACTAGCTCTTGCAATAATGAAGGACCAAAATGTCATTGCATTAGAACATTATTTTCCGTTTAAAAACGGAAACATACCGATAAATAGTAAAATTGCAGTTAATACTGCATAAATGCATTACTTTTGTATTTTAGCATATATGGAGTTCCAAACGAAATAGTTTGTGATCTTGGTGCTGAATTTACAAATACTATAGCTAAAAAGCTACTAGAGACACATAAAATAAAATTGCACATGGGTACACGTCGAAATACAAATTCCAATAGTTTAATAGAACGAATGCATTCTACAATTTTAGAACACTTGCGTATTTTACACGAAATTAATAAAGCAATTGTTGCATATAACAGTTCAATACATTCAACGACCAATTTTACTCCTATTGAACTACTATTTGGTCACACTAGGTCAAGAGAATTATTTGATCAAAGATTTTATAACGACTATGTAGAAAAACACAGAAATCGTCTAAAGATACCAGAAAATCAGCCAAGAAACTCAAACCAAAAAACAAAACATAATAGAACAGGGAAATAAACACCTAAAAACGTAAACTTAAATGTAGGTCAAGAGGTGTATATTAAAATCGACGCCCCAAAAAAGGAAAGGAAAATTGTCTTAACTTTTTGAAGGTCCTTTTAAAAATTCAAAGATAAATGATAACAATACCGTAGTGGTGCTTAATGATAAGAATAAAGAAAGAAAATGTCATGTAAAAAACCTTAAAATAGGTACTTTTTAACGTTTTACGCCAATATTCAGACCCCAACAACAAGGTAAATTTTAAACTTAAAAAGTGAGTAGTAATAATTTTCCATTATTTTTAGAAGAATACAATAAATTTCATGATAATGAAAAATTTATCCACATAAAATAGATAAATGGTATAGGATAATCAAATAAAAAATGTTATAGATGAAAAAATATTTATTTTTCTTTAACTGTTATAATTCGGTAAGATCCGGTAAACATGTCATTGGTTCTAATGATTTTATTGCTTGTTCTAACTGTTCATTATCCGATAAATGATTTATCGTTTCAATAACTACCGGTTGTACCTTTTCGTTAATATTAATTACATTCTCGATTTGTTGAATTATAGGTTCAAATGATATTTGGATCGGTTCTATTTGTTCACTATTAAGTGCCGGAAAATATTTTATGTGTTGAACTAAAGGTTTGTTAATACAGGATGTAGTTTGTTGTAACTCTTCGTTATTAAGTGACGGTAAACACTTTATTTCTTTTGTTACATGATGTAATGATTCTACTGGGGGTTGTTGCGGTAAGTTTCCATTTTCCTGATCCTGTAAATTTTTCAGTTTGTCACGTTGTAATGATTTTATTGATGGCAAACAAAAAAGTTTTTGTAAATATTTATAACAGCGTGGTCCTAATGAATACATTTTTTCAGCAAATTCTTTGTATTCATCATTATAACGTCGACCATGTTCGGAAACTTTACAAAGTTGAGCTTGTGTTTTAACGAATTCGGCCATTGGTGGCGTTAAGAACGTATCACAGTATTTACTAAACATCTCTAATGTTGGTTTTGGCGCAGTCTTATTATTCAATAATTTTTGAAGTCTCACATTTTTTTGATATAAAGATTTTATTGTCTTGGTTTGTCTTATTATTTTGGGCAGAGATGACGTTAGACCTACTGAAGTTTGGGTTTGTGCTATAAACAGTTTATTTATTACTGAATGATTTCATTTATAAAATTGTGAAAATACGTACCATGTGCTTTTTTAGTTCTTTCCTGTAAATCTATCAAGGAAAATGTAGAAACTGAAATATATTATTAATTTTAAAATAAACTGGTTAATATATATTTGCCATTTATTTTTCCACTTAAGGAAGAAGAGGTTGTGTTGTAGATTATAACGTGACCTGCTTCTATCTTAAGACAAACGTACCTTGTGGAGATAATGTTGACTTCGAGGGTTGCTTAGGTTTTTCTGGTGCGTATCTCATGAAAAGATTGGATGCTGAAATAAGTAAAAAGTATTAAACGTCAATTTGATACTTTTATATTTATTTATTAATTATTTTATATATTTAAATTATATCAGAAATACAGGCTGATTCACATAAGAACCGACACAGAGCAGGGACAGATGATTTAACGCAACTTATCTCCATACTAAGTTGTACCCCTGAAGAGTTATAGGCTTTCAAATTTGGGTCTTAAAATTTTAAAACATTGAATATCTTCGTAATACATTAAGCTAGAAAAACCAAATTTGGTATACGTTATGAGTGTACCGAGGGTATTAATTGGTAGCAAGTTGACACCCATTGTGGCATTTCAAAGGGTTGATTAAGGGTGATGGTCCCCTAAATTTTGACAGAATTTTTTAACCTTTTGACGGATTTAATACATTATTACTTCATTTCATATAGAATTTAATTCTAAAACTTTTTTAATCTTATTATTTTTTAAAAAACATTGTCGTTTTCAAGAAAAGCAAGGAGGTTGGTGCACATTTGAGTTTGACAGTAATAAAACTCTCCTTTCTTATGTCCCAAAAAACAACAAAGTCGTACTTCTGCCATCAGCTATGTAGCGCTATGACAGTATAAATGATGCAACTAGGATTTAAATCCATTAATTGAATGGATTATAATGACACCAAAGGGATTACTGACACTAAAGCGTTGATATCGAGCTACGAATGATAGGTGTCAGATTGTCAAATTGCACAATGTATTGTCCACACCAAAACAACTTCAAGCTGGAGTTCCACAAGGTTCAATACCGGGGCCTCTTTTATATTGTATATATACCTGTGATTTTCTTAGAACATTATCAAACTCCGAGGTGCACTTCTACGCAGATGACTCGCAAATTTATTTATCGTTTCCTCCTGAAAATATAACCTCGGCTAGGTTAACGCTTGAGAGTGATATACGTAGTTTGATTGACATATCCACAGAACATTGCCTGAGTATAAACCCAAACAAGTCTGTGGTGATGCTCTTTGGGAGACAAAAAGCACGTATGAAGTATTAACAAGAAACCAAGAAAGATCAGTGATACGTCTCGCAACTTGGGTTTAATGCTTGATAGCGATTTAAGATTCCGTGAACATATTACTAGTAAAGTTGGGAAATCGTTTGCTGCTCTGAAAATGATATATGCTAGTAGATATTTGTTGACGACATCAAATAAGATAAGATTATGCGACAGTTTAATACTTAGTAATTTTGATTATGGTAGTACTGTATATGGTCCTTGTCTTGATACTGATACGGCATGTCGAATACAGCGTGTACAAAATTCCTGTTTACGAATGATTTATAAACTTAGACGACGAGAACATGTTTCTCATATGTTACAGGTTGCTGGCTGGTTAAACATGGCTAATAGAAGAAAGTTTAGATTGCTTACTTTTTATCATAAACTTTTAATGTTGCGAGAACCACGTTATTTAAGTGATAAGATAAGGTTCAGAACGGATATCCACAATCTAAATGTTAGAAATAAGGGTCTAATTTCTCCTCCGCAGCATGCAACAGCACTATTTCAAAGATCATTTACTTTCACCCTCCCGAAGCTTTACAATCCCCTACCGGGAACTTTGAAATCGGCACCACCAGCGGTATTTGCACGCAACTTGAGATCTGTTTTATTCAGTGAACAGACTTTGTTATGATGAGTGAGCACTATAATTAAAATTTTAACGTAAGATGTAGGCACGATATAGAAAAGGGAATATTTTTGTTTTGTTTTTCCGTATTATAGATTAGTTTTCTATAGTTATTTTTAGTTTATAACCCTTTGTCTCTTGGTTTTATTTTTAAGAATATTTGTTTTTTTTTTTCATTTGTTTATTAATTTTGTTTTTTTTTTTGGTTTATGTTTGTGTATAAAACAGGGTTGAGTGGAAGAGAAGGACTTAGGTCCTTAACTACGCCCTGTATACTTATACTTTCATTATTAAGTTATAGATAATGTAATGATTTCAATTAATAAAAGGCATTATTAATTAATAAAAAGACATTTGATAAACAGTGCCGCACTTATACAACAGTAAGAGCGACCCGAACATGGCCTATAAGATTTTGCTATGGAATGTTAGAGCATAATGGAATGTTAGATCATAATGAAATGTTAGATCATAATGGAATAAATGCTACCATATTACTTAATTTCACACATACCAATTACAAAATGAATAGGAGAAAATTTATTAATGACCTGACCTTTCTGCTAATAGAGGCATTACTGAAAGTTCGGTTAGAAGTCAAAAGCGTAGAAAGATCGCTTAAAATATATATAAGTGCCTTATGTGTTCTAGGCGCTTTTGACAGAACCACCTTCTCCGCAATAAACGAGGCCTTGTTAGAGCATAACGTTCCTCCGACTCTATGTGGTTGGATCGAGAGCACTCTAAGGCATAGAATCGTTCAATTAAGGGCTGGCCAAGCCACCCTACAAAGGGCTGTTACCAGAGGCTCTCCGCAAGGGGGGGTTCTTTCTCCACTTGTGTGGAATCTCACCCTGGATAGCCTGATGAAACGCCTAAAACTAGCTGGTTTTAAAACCGTTGGCTACACAGACGACCTGGCAATCCTCATTCGAGGGAAGTACGTCAATGTACTCCTTGAGAGGATGCAGGAAGCACTTAATATAACTGAAAAGTGGTGTATTAAACAACCTCTCCGTCAATCTCAAGAAGACAGAGATGGTTATTTTACACGCATGCAGAACATAGGCAACCCCAAATTGCCAATGCTCGCTAACACTCCACTTAAACTGTCTACAGAGGTTAAGTACTTGGGCTTAATTTTAGACAGCAAGTTATCGTGGAAATCCCACCTAGATAATAGAGTAAAAAAAACCATGCGTCGCTTACGGCCAATGCCGCAGGGGTGTTGGGAGGACTTGGGGGTTGCCCCCAAGATAGCCCTATGAATTTACACGGCTGTAATCCGACCAATGCTAACTTACGGTGCGGTGGTATGGTGGAATAGAACTTCTAAGTCCACCGCCATCACCGCGCTAAATAGGATACAGAGACTCGCGTGTCTTTTTGTTACAGGTGCGCTGCGATCTGCCACCGCTAGACCTACATATTCAGGAGGTGGCGCTGGTAACCATGAAAAGACTACAAAAAATTCCTAAACGCATGGGAGAAAACTCCGGGCTGCTATCTTGCTAAGGATTTGTTAAAATATCATATAAAATAGATATATAAAGATTATTATAATTATTAATATACGCACCATGTGTTTTTTTAGTTCCTTCTTGTAAACCTGTCATGGAAGATGTAGGAGCTGAAATATATTATTAATTTTAAAATAAACTGGTTAATATACCGGGTGTTTAAAAATTGTGTTCGGATATTTTTCCCACTTATAGTTCTCATCAAGATAAACAGAATGGAGTTTCATTAATTAGTGTCATTAATTAAGCGTCTTGGTCTTCAAATGTTTATTTAATTGGAGAAAATACAAACAGACCATAAAAACTGAACACAAAATGCTTAAAGTAAATGCTCTACATGACTTCCCTCCATTTGAAGACATGCTTGACATCTTCGTACAAAAGAATTGCGCACTAGTTCGAAGACTTCTGGAGATTAACGAATAGTCTCACATGTGTTTTGTATTCTTTGCTGGAGATCCTCCAAGTTATTAACAAGTGCTGAATACACTAATGATTTTAAAAGTCTTTCTGCAAAGTGTTTTGCACAAAGTCCAAATAAGTTTCACAAGTTAAGCGATTAGGAAGAATAGTTGAAGTATGAAGGTTAAATTATTTAAAAAATAATAATAATAATTTAACCTTCATATCCAATATCACACGATGTTAAGAAGACAAAACAACAATTACAATTATACTGACTTCTTGATTGCACAACAGCGTGAGGATTTTCATCCGCCCAAATGTGATTGTTATGAAAATTCAAAATTCCGCCTTTTGTAAAAGCAGCTTCGTCAGTGAATAAAACACTAGCATGAAATATCGGATTTTCTGCAAACTTCTGCAACATAACTTCACAAAATGCACTTCTCGAAACGTAGTTAGAAACGACAAGTTCTTGTACTCGTTGAACATGGTAAGGATACAATTGTTGCTGACGTAAAATTTTCTAAACTAGAGAGGCATTAATGCTGCAGTAAAGCAGAGATGCTTTTTACACTCGTACCTGGATTTTCTTTAACCCTTCTCAAAACATCGAGGTCGACCAGCATCGTCATGAGTTGTTTTAAAAGAACCCACTTCCGACAAACGTTGATGTAATTTTGTGAAAAATTTATCACTAGATAAGGTACGGTTGGGGTAAGTTCCGTACATAAAGTGCATGTCTGCCATTTCTGCATCTCTGCACAATTGATTTTAGGACCTAAGTTTACTAAGACTTTTTTGTTTATCGTAATGAGAACTATAAGTGGGTAAAATATCGGAACACAATTTTTAAACACCCGGTATGTTTGCTATTTGCTTTTCCACTTAAGGAAGAAGGAGGTTGTGTTGTAGATTATAACGTGTCCTGCTTCTTTCTTAAGCTAAACGTACCTTGTAGAGATGATGTTGACTTCGGGGGTTGCTTAGGTGGTTCTGGTGCGTATCTCATAAAGAGGTTGGATGCTGAAATAAGTAAAGAAGTATTAAACGGTAATTTGATCTTTTTATATTTATTTATTAATTATTTTATATATTTATATTATATCAGAAATATATTCAAACAGGTATACTAAATATCATTTCGGTAATAGTATATAAATCTCTTTCTCTCTCTTCAGTCGCTTCAAGCTTTTATCATTATGTATGCGTATTGATAATATTTTTATGCGTATTGACAAAAATTTGCTTCTATTAGGAAAATCCGAGACACATTTATTTCAAATTGTCATAAATTTTATGCACTCGTATTGCACTATAGATGAACAGCTGATAGGATACATGTTCGATCCGTATCTACCTAGCATCGAAACCTGTTAAGTACGGTTTTAAAATAGTAATGATGAATGACTCTAGAACTTGGTATATGATCAACGCAATTCCATATGTAGGAAAAGTGTTGACGGAGCGTAACGAGTCATTTTCATCATATTATGTAAGAAAGCTTTCAGAACCAATAATTTCATCGGACGGGACGAAATATTACTGTTGACATTTATTTTTCTTCTATAGACCTCTTCGAACATTTCTAAATAGAAAAACAGGAGGTTGATGCACATTTGCGTTTGACAGTAATAAAACTCTTCTTTCTTATGTCCCAAAAAAGAACAAAATTGTACTTCTGATATCAGCTATGCACTGCTGTGACACCAAAGGGGTTACTGACACATTTGATAAACTGTGCCGCACTTATACAACAGCGAGAGCGCCCGAAGATTTTGCTATGGAATGTTACACCATAATGAAATAATTGCTAGCATGTTACTTAATTTTGTACATACCAATGACCGAATGAATAAAAGAAAATTTATTAATGACATGGCCTTTCTGTTAATAGAGTCATTATTGAAAGCTCGATTAGAAACCAAAAGCGTAGAAAGATCGCCTAAAATATATATAAGTGCCTTATGTGTTCTAATAATGTAAGGTGTTCTCGAAGAGTAAACAATTCATATTCTGGGCAGAAATGATATTTTTTACTAAATGTTTTGTTTGTAAAATTATGAATATACGTACCATGTGTCTTTTTAGTTCTTTCGGGTAGACCTGTCATGGAAGATGTAGGAGCTGAAAGATATTATTAATTTAAAATAAATTGGTTAATACCGGTGTCCCTCAGAAGTGGCTCACTCCTAATTTTTTTTATTATTAGTGATATAAGAAAACCATTTGGAATGCATAATTAGGCCCTTAAAACGGATTATTACGACATGAAATCATTCTCTTTGTGCTACCGGTTATACCGCATGTGAGTGCTAATTTCGCTTTTTTTTTAAATCTATAATTTTTTTTTCATCAGTTGGGTAGACAGCATAATTTCACATAACTTTTACAGGAAAAAATTTTCACGATCGCTTATAATTTTTGAAAAAAAAATTATTTTCATTGTTTTTTAACGTTTTTGTACCTTCGGAAAATATATTACAACATTTGACGCATAGTAACTAGGTTAATAACGTTAACGTATAAACTACGTTATGTTCCTCTTGATTTGCTATTTCTCGAGCAGTGATCACTGCTATGCTTTAGTCAGTGGTTCTTTTTTAATAATGGTGTAAATTAACAGTTGTATTAAATCAGTTTTAAAAGAAAAACACGAAAAAACAATTAAATTTAATTCAATAAGTTCAAAAAAACTAATTTTCTAAATTTTCAAAATGTCGCCTTGATTTTGACATAATTGTATCTTCCGTATTGTCGACCTAACAACTCGACGTAATTCCTGCAGAGATATTTGGGTAATACAATTTGTAACTCGATTTTTTAAAACCTCACGAGACCTTACAGGTGCATTATACACCTAATTTTTGATTTTGATTATTTATTCATTATTTTATATACTATATTTTTTATAGTATCTAAAATATATGCCTTTCTGTATGTACATTTTAGATACTAAATATCATTTCGACAATACTATATAAACTGAAGTGCATCTCTCTCCCATCAGTCGTTGTCCAATTTCGGACAATGTCTTCTATAGTACGTATATAGGGGATACATCATAAGTATTTCCATGCCGTCCTTCTATGTATATTGCATGACCGAAGAATTGAAGTATGCGACGCTGGTTTTAATATCTCATTATCATGTATTTTTAGTTCTTTTAGAACATTCTTCGATAATATATCATTACAAAAGCTTCAATCCGTCTTTGGCATGCAGCATTTATGGTCCAGGATTCTGAGCCATATGTTGCAATAGGAACACTAAAGATGTCAAAAATCTTGTTTTAGTTACTTTGTGGATACGGTGGTCTTTCCATATTTTAACCAGTCCCCCCAAAGCCCCTTTGCCATTCCGATTCTTCTCTTTACTACTTTTCCTGAGACACCTCTATTTGTTACTTTCGTGCCCAGATAAAAAATCTTATCTGCACCTGTATGTTATGCAGCTGCAATAGTGGAGGTACCCGCCCGGTCTATAATTACCAAGTGGTATTTAGATCTATTCCATCGCAGTTCGCACTCCAGGCTTTTTTGTTCGATTCGTTGTAAGACTTCTAATATTTCTTGTTCATCTATAGCTGTTGTGACAGTGTCACTGCGTAGAAGGTTCGAGATCCTTTTCCCTCCATTAGATATTCCACCCTTCCAATCTACAATCTATTAATCTATCAATGTACTACCTAATAGTATTAGCAAGAAAATGCAACCCTGCCTTAAGACTTTTCCTGCTTTACAGTATCTTGAATATTAATTTCTTATTTTTATTTTAAAATGTGCCAAAATTTATTTCAGTGTACCATGTCGAAAGCCTTCTGTAGTCCTGTTTTCTGGAGGAGCGACATTATATTCATAAATTTTTTCAATCATCTACCTTAGGTGTAAAATTTGATTTCTTGTGCCTCGTCCTGGCACAAAGCTTGCTTGTTCTAGGGGTATATTGGGGAGATGGTAAGTTTTGAGCCTTTTCTGTATGATATGCAGTAATATTTTGCTTGCGTGATTTATTAGAGCAATAGTACTATAATGACTGCATTCAACTTATATAATAATATAAACAGATTTCGCCTATTCTTCTGGCCATTTACCAGTTTCCCACAATTCGGTGTAAGAAAGTAATACTCTTGTTCCCAGTGAATTTTAGCATTTCCGGTGCGTCATTATCTGAGCCTGGCGATTTTCTGTACCGTAATTTTTGAAGAGCTATACTTCATCCCTCGGAATTCGTAGTTCACAGAGAAAATAATTTTTGAGTAAAAGTTCAAATTCACGAGACCCTATACACTTTCTTATCAAAAAATCTTTTCACCGAGTGCCAAGAATCTGACTTTTTTGTAATGAAAATTTTTAAAATAGTACTGCGCAATTGTGTACTTAATATCTTAATAATAACAATATAGTGGAATTTTCCTAGTTTCGTAAGATATAAAATAATACCTGGTAGAGACGATGTCGAATTTATAGTCTTCTGAGGAGATTCTGGTGGACAACTTATGTGGGAACCAGTGGAAACTGAAACATATTATGTACATTAAGTTACCACTCATGATATTTTGTTACGAAACAATCAAATGATGCAGTAAATGAGTACTAAACGATACGCATCAATTCGAAAAGTTTAGTATACTGATAGTGCTGTTCTTTCATTACATAAATATAATCATACCTGGAATACATGCTGTCGAATTTAGAATTGTCTTTGGTGGTTCTGGCGGAGTTACTTGAAACATAAATTTAAATAATCTTTGAATTGAAACATTTGAATATCTCCGGAACTATTAACGCTGAACATATATGGTTGGATAAACAAATTTAGTTGTANTATAGAGTAACGATTTTACACTATTTAATAAACACCATCTTCTCACTATTTAGTGTAAATTTTTAATCTATTCACCTACACTATATAGTGCAAAAAAATAACTCTAAATAAATTGGACCGATCTGAACCATGTTTTAGAGTTGATTTTTACTCTATATTTTTTCCTGTGTATAAATGAAAATAATTTTACGTTATGAAAGTGGTGAGTCGAACAAGTTTTGTATAAAACATTTTTTTCTTCTATCTCAAACGATTTAATAGCTATCGATCGCCGGGATACTAATAGCTCACCTTGTATATTGTTGTAAATTTAATTGTAATGTTTATACATACAATGTTTTAAAAATTCTCAAGTAAAACAAAAAATACCTGGTATAGACGTTGAATTCACAGTTTTCTTCGGTGGCTCAGATGTAAATTGCAAGAAATGTTGAGGAGCTGAAATTGTTGACAATTCTCAAGTTTTGTTAAGTAAAATTATATATTTTATATACAGGTGTTTCTAAATTGACGCGAAAGATTATAAGGGATGATTTGTCAGCGAAAATTAAGGGGTGTCTTTCATATAGCTTTTTGTTCAAAACCCCTTTTGCTCCAAGTTACAGCCCTCTAAAGTTATGGGAAAAAATTGTTTTTATTTAATAAATCCACTGTGGAAGAATTTAGAAGAATGAAATTTGGCAGATAACTGTTGGTAATAAAATGACACCTTTTGTAATTTTTGTAACCCTAAAACTAAACCCTAAAATGTTATTACAAGGGGGTGAAACATCAAACCCTATAATATTTTGCATCAGAACTTTTCAATGCGTCTACATTGTTCTATTTAAAAACTTGATTTAAATAGTGGGATTTTCCTAAAATTGTTAATTTGATCACAAAAAAATATCTCAAATTTCTAGAGAGTTTTATACGTATGGACTGAAAACATTCTGCACAACTAAATAAAATTTTATTGAAAGAATGGCATTTTCAATTTAGTTGAAGATAGTACTTACTTATTGTAAATTAAGAAATATCACAATAACAAATTGAACAATAATGTGGGGTTGAAAACTTCATCCCTTATAACAGTTTGCAGTAGAAATTTTGAATGTGTCTACAATCTTTTATTAATTTAAAAAGAAATTTAAAAACTTAATTTAAAAAGATGGATTCAATTTCCAACATTCTTGTCTTTTGACATTTTCTCACAAAATTGTTAGTTTAAACACACAAAAAAATAATACACATATGGCATAAATTCAGCCTAATTATTAAAATTTCTAGAGTTTTATGCAAATGGACTGAAAACATTTTGAACAACTGAATGAAGTTTTATTGAAAGAATGGCATTTACTATTTAGTTGAAAAAATATGTAAATTAAGAAATATCACAATAATAATTGTAGTACTAATAACAATTAACAAAACTACGAAAACAAACAATAACAACGTTAACAAAATATCAATAATAAGTCATAATAAATGTTGAAAATGCCGCCCCTCGGCAGCAACGCACGATTCTACCCTTCGCCTCACGGAATTTCGTATTGTTACAAATAATCCTGGTGTATTCCTAATAGTTTGACATGATGCGATGATACGATTCCGTAAATCATTGATATTTTCAAGAGGAGTTGAACAAACCAACGTTTTAAGAAAACCAAAATACAAAAATCTAACGGATTTAATTCTGGAGATCTGGCTGGCCAATTCTGAGGACCACCGCGGTGTATCCAACGATTTGTATAAACTTCGTCTAAGTAGCGGCGAGCGTAATAATTCTCCATAATTCTCATCTCCTCTTCAAGGAAATGACAGTATGCGTCTCCATTTAATCTCGTTGGAAGAAAATATGGTCCAATTAAATCATTGTCAATAACACCAAGCCACACATTTAATGAAAATTAGTGTTGAAACTTGCATTCAACAATTTTATGTGGATTTTCTTCAGACCATATGAGAGGAAATTTCTAATGGATTCTTTTGATAAGAATTGCGGTGTTTGGGTAACCATTTGAAGAAACCATTGGTAAAAAATCCCGCGGTAAGAACGCTTGAACTCATTGTAAATGATAAGGATACAACAGTTGTTCTTTTAAAATCCTAAATACGCTGGAATAGTTACGTTTAATTCTTGAGCAATTTTTCTTGTACTAGTTCCGGGAGAGTCCTCAATTAAATCAAGAACTTCTTCCTCTAGTGCTACAGTTCGTACTTCTCGTGAACGTGCGCAATCGGCAGTTCTTCTTGAAAAATGTCCATCTTCTCGAAGACGTTCTAGATATAACTCAGCGTAAAGTCTTCGAACTTCTAACCCATTTCCATTCGCACGACCATATACAAAATGCATTTACTTGCATTTCGGTATTTGTGTAGTTTGCCATTGCATTTACTTAAGTAATAACTGTTTTTAGTTCGCAAGAGATAGAAAAATAACACGGACAAAATAACAACTTACCACAATCTGACGCTAAATAACATTTAAAACTAGAACTAACACTAGACCTAGAAATGTGCCGCGAAAATATATGGTTAGAACGGTCGATGACGTCACAAAAAGTGACGTCACATCGAAACTGGTGAAATAAAAAGTGATTTTTCGGTAAGTTTTACACGTTTCCGCACTTTTTTTTATTTGTAACGGCTTACTTGAGCGATTTCCCGTCGATTAAAAAAAAATTGTGGAGCCAATATGAAAGGTAAGAATAACGGACTACCAAAAATATTTCAAATATAAATTCGAGAGCGTTATTTGTTCCTTGCTCCTGTCACTCTATTAATCTTGTTTTAAATGATGCTACAGAATTAAAATTAATTAATACATAGATAATACAAAGCTTGTATTATTTTTTTTCTGCATCCACTTATAGATGGTCTATTCTTGTCAAATATCTGACTAATTTAACATTAAAACCTGTATGTTCTACGAGATGGGAAAGTAGGATAAATGCGATCAGGCCCGTTAGATTGTTGTCCCGTCACTTTTTGGTATTGTATAAGACACGTCTTTGCTGGGTTTTCATGGAAATAATACTAAAGTAGAAACATGCATTATAGAAGAAGAGATAATATATATAGAGAACATGTGTTGTAAATTTTCCATTATTCATCAAGATTATATAATAGAATGTAATAAAACTTGTTAATTTTATACTTCTTGATGTTTTTATTTTGTTTTTGATTCCTACCGGTTTCGGTTTATTAAACCGTTATCAAGGTAATCACCTACGGATAAAAATAACATTTTACAATATATAACCATTCACGTTAAAATAGAGAAGTAAATACAATTAATGAAACTTTTTTTTTTCATTTTGTTTCACTTACGTCAGTTATACTAAAAGATCAACATGAATGAACGAACACTACACACTATAAACATCGACGTAGTTTAATATAAAACTATAAGTAACACAATAAAATAAAATATTAGAGAAGGGTATTTTTACTTTCTTTTATACTGAAGGGAATTTGGGTAATTTTATTCGTGGTTGGTATTTTATGGCAACTTTTGTTCTTGTAGGCGAGACCGGTTTGTGTATTTAAATCTTGATTTTTTAAAATTCTTTTAACTTATGTTTGGTGTTTTTTTTGTTGCAAAAATTGATTGTTTAAACAGAGGTACAAAGGTTGACATGTTGGCAAAATTTGATCGTTTAAACACATTTTTTCTGGATTGTTATGTATAAACTTATTTATCTCGTACAACTCTGTTATTTCCATGAGATATCCCTTCTTTAGTTTATGTAGAATTTCCACATTTTCATTTTCATCAAACTGATGGTTTAGTTCTTGTAGATGTCGACAAAAATTCAAGTTAGGTTTCTTTTTATGTTCATATATTCTTTCTTTCACAGCTCTATCAGTTTCTCCCACATATGTGGCAGAGCATGAACCACATTCAAGTTTATAAATACCACTGTTGTCTAATTTTGCTGTTCTATCTTTACAATTCACTAGTGTTCTATGTAGCGTTGTGTTTGTTTTAAATGTAAGATGTACATCATATTGTTTAAATAACTTTTTCAGTTGATGTGAAATATTGCCTTGATATGATATAGAAATATAGATCTATAGGTGTTTATTGTTGTGATCCTATTTCTTGAAGGGCTGTATTATGAAGCATGTTTTGTTTGTTTTTATACATCTTTATAAGTTTATCGACTGATGTACTAGGAAAATTATTTTGAGTGGCTATTTGTTTTATAATTTCTAGTTCGTTCCTTAAATATTCTTCATCAATATTGGAATTATATGCACGATGTAGATAGGCGTGATAAGCTGACATTTTTTGTTTCTTGTCGTGATATGAGTGATAGGGTATTATGATATTGGTTTGGGTAGGTTTTCGATATATTGAATAATGAATCATTTAACTTGGTCAAAATTAAATCCAAGAAATTCATAGTATTATTCTGTTCGATCTCCATTGTAAAAATTATGTTTTGATGAAGTTTATTTATGTATGTATGTAAATTATTTATATATTTTGGATCAGACGTATCATATATTACAATAACGTCATCTAAGTATCTCAACCAAGTAATAATGTTCTCATTGTACGGATTTTTGTTATTAATTATGAAATTTCTTTCCAATCTATCAAGAAAAACATCCACCAACAAGCAACTTAGAGGAGACCCCATAGGAAGGCCTTTTTTATACTTATATATTTCACCATTAAACCTGCAAAAATCATTTTCAACGCATATTTTAAACAATTTCATGATGTTCGTTTTTTCATGTTTATCCTCTATTTTTTGATCAAGGATATCCTGAATTAAGGCGAGGGTCTCTTTTACAGGTATATTCGTATAGAGATTCGTAATGACAAAAGAGAAGATTTTATTATCTTTTGGCAAAGTGATAGTATTCAATTTTTCAACAAAATCTTTTCTATTATTAATTGTGTACATAGGTTGGAAGGATATATGGTGTTTAAAGTAATTGACAATTCACACATATAGAGAAGTTAAATTATCAGGCCATATGCATTACAATAATTTGGTATAAATAGCAATGTATGCAATGTACTTTTAGATGTTAACAGAGTAAATCTTCTACTACAAAGCCCAAGGTGTACGGTTTGTGCGACAGTTGAAATAATTGAACAGCTTGCAAATAATCTAAAAAAACTGAGAAGTGACGAAGAGTATCAAAAATTGTTAGTTATAGCGTCTGAATTTCAAATTCTGCAAATTCAATAAACGTACAACCAAACTTTACAGAAATCAGAACGCAATTTCAATAATGATACTTTTGACAACCCAATACAAGATCCGTCACAAAAATTTAAAGTTGATGTATATTTTAATTTACTTAAAATAGCGATGCATTCAATAGAGGAGCGTTTTCAACATATATTCGGATTTTTGCACAATCTTGCCGACCTAAGAAATTGGGAAAAACAGGACGTCATAAAGCAAAGAATGAATTTGGAGATTACTCTTAAACATAACAATAGAAAATACATCGACGGTA